ACTGGGCACTGCACAACCTGGGAAAATTCGCCCTTGCTGTGCAAAGCCTAAGATTGCCGAGCTTCCTTGTGCATATCAATGTGGTGATAGCCGGACTTCTGAGACACGGTGGGCAGATAGCCGTGTGGTTGTGGCACGTCCCACAAGCATCCCACGGGACTTATACCTGTAGCTCGGCACCACACGGTGTTCGATAATATAGCATAGCGTGCATCAGAAATTAGGCGGAATTTGGGAGTGGCCTTCTTTAGGAACAAAACCGAGGGGCAATACGCAGCGCAGTTGGCAATCGACTCATGGTCCCGCCCCAGTGGCGACCAGTTCGGTGATCACAAAATTCAGTCTGCTGTTAGGCCGACGGTTGGCCAGGCTGTAGGGTGCTTCGCACAACAGCGGAAACCGAACAGTACCCAGGCCATGACCAGGCGGGACTGCATAAATAACTTCCAACATGCTGTTTTGGCTTTCAACCGGGCCCTCATCTGTGATGGCTGGTTGGACTTAGGTTTGTCTGCGCGCGGCAAGCTCGTCCCGGCCCTCCTTACCTTCAATGTCGGGACAACTCTCATGTCATCCACGCGCCGGGTGTGCGCTTGTTCAGGGCCTGTCGGTACCGGTGTTCTCTCCGGGGAAATGCGGACACCTTGGTTGCGGGCACTGGCTTGCCGTGTCACGCCTCTTATGGGGCACTTGTGTCGGCCGACTCGAGGCCGGTCCGGCATCCGGAGGATAAACTTGCGTTTGACGCGCTGGTATAATCAGTGCTGCTGAGGGATCGCTATATTTTGAGCCAAAGAGTAACTGTAGATTTGGTCTTGTTGCCGATTGCGATGGTATTGAGCCATTGCTACGTACATAAGATCGCGCCCGACGAAGATGCACTGTTTGGTGACGACCACAGTGGTCGAAGCTGTATGACGGCCGATGTGCGGCCGGGCGCGCTGGTTGTTGCAGGCCGCCGGCCAGGAGACGGGAAAAGGGGGCCAATGCTTCTTAAGTAAGCCTCTTCTTTCATTGAATAGCGGGACAAGATCGTTTAGTAGACGAACGCGTGTCTGCAAACGCGCATGAACAGGTTCCCTTGAATGGCAATGAATTAGTAGCCATGTCCTGTTCGCTGGGCACCCAGGAAGATCTTGTATATGTAGTGTGTTAAGATCTAGAGACGCGGCGGCAAGGTACGCAAAGCACGAAGGCGAAGTCGGGATGTATCGGGGAAAACTGGTGTGATGAAGCGGGAGTATGGAACCAGTGCGCTGTCTTCTTGTGCTTGCCCGGAGTGGGCACTCATGTTGGATGGTTGGGTAGCTGATGTGAAGTGGGGGCAAGGAAGGAAATTGGGTTTCTGCATACCCGCGCAGCTTTAGCACCAAAGGTGATTTAAGCCTGCCCACACAGTAGGGCACGACAGACCGATTTAATGGGTCTTGTAGCCTCTTTACCCTACCGCAGTCACGTGAGTATGTACCCTTTGCGGGGTTGGGGTGCGTCACTGTCGACTGCCAAAGTAATCACAACTGCGAGCCACATCCGGCCATAACCACAGTGAAGACGGGCAGTATTAGAGCTCTTCTCACAAGAGACTTCTGGCCACATCCAGCCTAAGCACAGCGAGTGTCCAAAATTGTTGGCCACATCCGGCCTCGTAAGCAGCTTGTGTGGGATGTTACTGGCCCCTCCAGCCTATAGCTGTCGGCTGTCGGTCTTTACCGGCTCCAAGCAGGGGAGAAAAATATCGGAACCGTTAGTAACCTTAAGCAATTGATGCGCGAGGTCCAAAAAACTGCCCGGNCCATGCGGCAGCATGAGCCGTCTATGCGCGAAGTCCCAAAACTGCCTGGCCCAAACGGCCACATAACAGGCGATGCGCAATTCCACGAAAACTGCCTGGCCCAAACGGCCACATAACAGGCGATGCGCATTCCACGAAAACTGCCTGGCCCAAACGGCCTCATAAGCAGTTGATGCGCGAGGTCCACGAAACTGCCGGCCCGAACGGCCTCATAAGCAGTTGATGCGCGAGGTCCACGAAACTGCCGGCCCGAACGGCCTCATAAGCAGTTGATGCGCGAGGTCCACAAAACTGCCGGCCCGAACAGCCTCATAAGCAGTTGATGCGCGAGGTCCACGAAACTGCCGGCCCGAACGGCCTCATAAGCAGTTGATGCGCGAGGTCCACGAAACTGCCGGCCCGAACGGCCTCATAAGCAGTTGATGCGCGAGGTCCACGAAACTGCCGGCCCATACGGCCTCACAAGCAGTTGATGCGCGAGGTCCACGAAACTGCCGGCCCGAACGGCCTCATAAGCAGTTGATGCGCGAGGTCCACGAAACTGCCGGCCCGAACGGCCTCATAAGCAGTTGATGCGCGAGGTCCACGAAACTGCCGGCCCATACGGCCTCACAAGCAGTTGATGCGCGAGGTCCACGAAACTGCCGGCCCGAACGGCCACATAAACAGGCGATGCGCAATTCCACGAAAACTGCCGGCCCATACGTCCTCACAAGCAGTCGATGCGCGAGGTCCACGAAACTGCCGGCCCGAACGGCCACATAAACAGGCGATGCGCGATATCCAAAAACTGTCGGCCACATCTGCCTGCGCAGGCAGTCCAAGCGCGGTAGTACTAGCTAGATATAACCTTGGGGAAAGCGCTCTCGGCTTCGTGACTTGTGGTAGTTAAGCCCGGTGTCCGGTAGTTGCTGTGGCGCATCACACCGCCAGTGCCTGAAGGGGGCCGGTGGACAGAGCCAGGGTAGGTTGCATGCCTGCTGCAGGAGCCTGTCGCGTTAGCCCAGCCGTTGAGACCCACGCTGCCTGCTGGCCGCATGAGCCCAGTGTGAATGGTGGTGGTTCGTCCGTGGGCGTCCTCGAACATGCGATCCCCCGTTGCCCAGCGTCCTGGCAGGTTGTAAACCTTGCCCCGGAAATGTGGCGAATACGACAAAGGATCTGTACAACATTATTTGTAACTGGGTGTGACAGCCGGAGAATTCAGTAGTTGTGTAACAGTATGTGTGAAAGACGCTCGAATAAACGACACCGAAGTGGTACGCATTAGAATTCACAACTCAAGATAACAACATTTCATAACGGATTTGAACTCCTAATGTATGGTGGCGTTCCTAGCGGCAATGGAAGCTAAATAGCGGAGGTTGGTTAACCACGTGACAGCTTTCAGCAACGCCTGACCTTCTTCGGACGCATCATCCGCCATTGCTGTTCAAATTAAGTTAATGCGCTCAATAGCGACGCGCACAACCTTCACCAAGGCCCAGGATCCGCGTAATTGCGGGTGGCTGGCTAAGGGCCGGCGGCTCCGCACATTGTAAAAGATTATCGCTTCGGGCTGAGCTAACATCAGCTGGGTTAGCTCCTCGTGCTCCTTCAGCCTCCGGTCGAAGTAAGCTGTGAGTGCTGGCGAAATAACTCGCGCTCCTCAGCTAGCTGCTGTTCGAAGAGGGCCCGCATTTCGGGAGTGAGCACTAATCTTTCTGCGCCCGCAGCGCCAATTTCCATAGCCGACATTCGATTCTAGTATTGCTAAGAAAAGACGGTGCAACACATAACTAGAGGACACTGTCCCAGCAGCGGGACACACCTCTTGGTAATAGTCAAAACAACGGCAGTTAAAGAACCAATGCGCCTGTGGGACCCAAGTAGGAGCTCGGCGTCCCTTGCCGTACTGCGGTCCGGCACATGCATGCATGCATGCGCCCGACTTCCACGCACCACGGCAGTTCCTTCGCAATAACTTGCCTATCTCTACACTCATACTTCGCTTCGAGAAGTCGAAGCTTATAGGTAGCAGGTGCTATCTGTGACTTTCGCTGCGCGGATGAAGCAGGACTCCGCATCCGTCCACCGCGCACGTGGCTATATCTTACCCTGCCTGCCAGGACGGCGGAAACGGATGAGCGGCATGCAATGTGCCGTACAGTGAATGCAATGCTCACACCCATTCATGACTGAGGGCCCCCCGTCCGGTTTCTTTGCCGTCATTTGGATAGAAGCCGCACGGCTGTATAAGTAATGTCAGAGGGGCGTGGCTTTTGCGCATGCCCCCATCCGGAATATGGCCACAAGCTGCTATGCGTGGTGCCGTTACAGCAGCTCACCAGGAGAGGACAGCGGCACGTATCCTGCGAAATTCATATCTCCTGAAAAACTATTGCTATTAAGTTGTCAAGCCCCGCCGAGCACTTAGTATAGGAGGGGTTCTGCACTGCTCATTCTATCGCGTCCATCCCCCATTTCGCAAATTCTAGCTTGGGACGAGGAACTATACAGCGTTTCCCCGTATGAAGCCCAGTAACTTATAAGTTTGGACACAAGAGGGGGGACCATTAGAAAGCCGATCCCTTGTAGCGAATTCCGTGACCGATCCCCTTTCGTGCGCAAGCACGCTGTGAACAATACAGATGCAGATTTTCCGTCTAGGCTATCCTGTGCAAGCGCGTCCTTAACACACAAAGGATCGACCAAGGCGCTAGTTCCTTGGCCTTTAGCGAAGGGTAGCATCTGCGGGACCTTTGGCATAGGACTGCTGGACGCTCTAGGTTTAGTTAACTAAACGCACCACATTATGCGCTATTTGGCGGATTGAGCGGGTATGCAAACAGATGGTGTGCTTACAAGAAGCGCGCAAGATAGGGAATCTCAACGGCGGCTTTCCCGTCTCCTTATTGCGCATGGTTAGGCATGTAGTTATTAGGCACAATTGTGCTTTAGGTGAGTCAGCCAGTTGGCCGTTAAAGATACGCATGTACGATTACCGTATGAGCTCGGGAACGAAATCTTATGTATCTAGCGGCGAGGATAATTCTCCTGTACGCACCTATAATAAATCCAAGGTGCTCGATATGTCTCTTTATTTAGCCTTTTGAGTCAAAATGGATAGATTCCTTTGGCCGCCAGACGCCTGCACTTCAGCTTTAACGATTACGATAGTTATGATCACCTTCTGAAGTTATAAACGTAGCTGGAAGGGGTCCCCACCATGGAGTCCGACGTGCTGGGGCACCAGTCTCGTGTGGTCTTAAAGACCGTCAGTCGGATGCCTCGGACATTTATAAGTCAGCTTTATGCTGTCGACATGGCAGTAACGGGCTGGGTCAGGTGCGGCAATATCCTTTTGCTGCCATGTGAGAACGCGTGTGTCAGCACTTCCGTTGTGCCGTTGCAGCTTTGGGAGCTTGTCCTACGCAGCATGCGCGATTTACCTCGCCAGCCAAAACGTTGACAGAAGCTGTGCGGCCGGTATCGGGGAGCAGGTGCGGCGATGGGCATGATAGGTGGGATGTCTGAAGACACGTTACGATCAGCTGGGAGTCGCCATTCTTCGGTTGTAAGAAGTTCAGACACGCGGAAGCCAGAAACGACCTTTTCCCGCGTGTGCTGCGTGTCGTGGCGTCCAGGCCGTGACGTCTTATGCCGTGACTCTTAAAAGCTTTATAAAGGTTGCGTATCCTGGTATGTCTCCATATGGGCCATCGTTATCTCGGAGCCCAGATGCGATTACGTTGGGCGATTGTGTGCACAGGTTGCGTCCGTGGAGTGGACCTTCCAGGTGCAAACGGTGAGCACATTGTGCCTTCATTACCGCGAAAGCCGTTAGGGGGCGTTTAGGCCAAGTAATGGTGGAATCCCTGAGGCTTGGCGAGGTGCGGTATCTCAGTGAGACAGCGCGTCAAGTAATGCGGGTTGGGAAAAGGGCGAGGGTGCATTACCAGGCTTGGCTGCTTGGCATGACGAGCCTCCGGGTTGCGTTGATGATCTACAAAATGATGGTTGACGTGCGATACAAAGCGTGCGAAACCCTGAGCTTGACAGCTTCTGTCTCATCTTTGCTGTCACACCCTTGTGCGTTCTTCACCACTGGCCTGCAGGCGGCCTTTGGGGCTGTTTTGTTGCTGAACCTGCTGAATCTGGGAATGCGACAGCATCTGCTGCCCTTTAAGGTGCGCTGTTGCTGACAAGGGATATGGGGCGTAAGAACAATTGGTTAGCAGGCGCCGGAAAATTGACAAACCGCAGCTTATTGTTATGTGCATGTGTGTGTGTGTGTTTTACACCTCGAGTTGCGTTGAGTGGCCTTTCAAAGGGTGTAACAGGGCCATACGAGCCGCGGGCACAAGGGCCAGACAAGGGCTCACCGACAGAAGATTGTAATGGGAAACGTATAAAAGAAAAGCGTTGTTCTACTGTTCATAGAAAGGATAAGGTGTTTTTTGAGGCATTGCATTGCCGGCCACTCCCGTGTGCCAGTCGTCTGTTGGCCCCCGGCTCGTGTAACGCCGCACGACACAGGTCTTCGTGTTTTTCCGTCCATTCATGAAGAGCACACACTGGGGGTTGTGAACCTGATATGCCCAACACTGACATAGCGTTTTCCTGCCTCGGCATTGCAGTGCAACCTGCTGCTGCTTTTCATTAACGGTGTAGCTTTCGTGACGGACCTGCTGCTGTGGCGAGGTGCCACTATGGTGATGTTCTCATCCTCGGGGCGGCCATTCGCGCCGCTGCGTTACGTCCAGTGGTGCCACTCCACTCCCACCATGATTTACATGCTGGCCTTACTTGCAGACTGTGGTGGCTGCCAGGTGCGTGATTGGATTCGGTTGGCTGAGGGTAGTTGGGTTGGCTGTAGCCCAGCTGCCTTGCCCAGCTGCCTGTCTCTCTGTGCGGTTAGAGACATGGTGGACGTATCTGAGTGGGTGCTAAGCTGCGCGGTGGCTTATCCCACGCGGCCGATCCCGGTGCTTTCGTGCAGCTCTAGCACCGCGATCAGTTGACGGCGGCAATCACGACTCTGGCAGGCAGGCAAGCGCTGAGGAAAGGCGTGAAGAGGGCGGGGTTGGAAGGTGGTGCTTAATGGCCTCTTCACCCTGGTACTGGGTTTCTCAGTGGTGGAGCTGACGCATTTGCTGAGTGATGTGGTCTTTATGCACACCGGATGTCTGCCCCCCTTCCCCCTCCCCATTTCCTTTTCCCTCTGCAGCTGGCAGTGCCGCTGCTGAGCGATGTGCTCATGGTGGCTTCCGGGCTGGCGGCGTGCTACACACGGGGCTTCCTGAAGGATGCCATGACCATCGTCTCATTCGGGACTTTTATCGTCGTACTGTACTACGTTTACGGAATGTTCCACAAGTGAGTGCCGCCCAGCCCCGGGGGACTGCCGTCGCCAGGTTTGGCTGTGTAGAGCAGGCACGGCCATTTTCGTAAAAAGCTCAGCTTCCTTCCTAAGACGCGTGTCCCTCTGCGCTCCATCCCCTCCTCTCGCCCTTGTCCCGTTGCAGAACCCTCTCCAGCGATGTATCCCCAGAGCAGCGCAGCACCCTGCGTACCGTACTGGCCCTGCTGCTGGCGCTGTGGAGCGCTTTCCCCGTCGTTTGGCTGGCGGCCGACTGGCACCTGATGGGTCCGCAGATGGAGGCCATATGCTGGGGCGTGTGTGATTACCTGGCCAAGGTGGTGTTTAGCAGCCAGCTGTGGCAGAGCAACCTCACGGAGGTGCAGCTGCGGAGGGACCGGGCGCTGGAGGCCTGGGAGGCGAGCAACCGAGTGGAGGCGGTGACGAGGCTTACGGCGCTGCTGAAGCAGCGGGATGACCTCCTCAGCACGCTGAGCCATGAGTTGAGGACACCGCTGGCGGGTATTGTCGGTGAGCGAGATGGGAAGGAGCGCTCGATGACCACGTTCTGGGGGCCTCTGTGCAAGGAGCAGAGTGGCGGGTGCCATGCGTTCGGGTGTTACAGATTATGGAGGAAGCGGCGTCCGGGGTTGCTGGGTGGAGGGGGCCATGAAGGGCAGGAATATCGGGGCGTGTGGTGTCTACATGACTGAGGAGGCAATGTGGAGTGATGCGTGGCTCAGGCGGACTGCAGGGTTCGCCATGGTGGACTTACCAAACTGCTATGGCCTTGGGCTCCCACATTTCCATTGCGACGCCATGGCCCATCCATTCTGCGTCCTCAACACCACCTCTCCATGCCCTTGCCCGTCTGTACTCCGCAGCTCTTTCGGAGAGCCTCTGCCAGGAGGTTTCCGCCGCCCTGCCCAGCAGCGCCCAGAACCTGGCTACCGTCCGCGCCACCGCCACATGCATGCTCAACATTGTGACGTCAACATTGGACAGCTTCGCGGCCCGCCGGGTGGGGGAGCCAGGGGGCGCCCCCTACGTTGGTGATGACGGGTCTGGTCCTGTAACTCCCTCGGTGCCGTTGGTTGCGCTGGATCTGCGGCCGCTGGTGGAGACGGTGACGACGGTGTTGCGGCCATTGGCGCATGACGGCGTGGCCATTGTGAGCGACCTGCCCAGCGTCCTGCCGCTCGTGGCGGCGGACTCGACACGGCTGAGCCAGGTCGGTCGGGTTGGGATGATACGGGATGGGATGTGAAAACGGAAGAGCATGGACCTGTTCGCCAACATTACCAACATTCTATATTACCAACGAGGAGTTTGCCTGGGACGTACTCCTCTTCATGTTCCGGCTGTGACTGCCTGCCACCCACGCATCCTGACAGAGACATGTGATGATGTTTCATGCGTTTACAGGTGCTGTACAACCTCGTCGGCAACGCCATGCGCTTCACTACACACGGGGAGGTGCGTGTCGCGGCTCGGATGGTACTGCCTGAAGGCGCGGAGACTACCTCGGGGCGGCCCGGCGACGGTGGCGCCGCAGCCGCCACCGCTGCCACTGCTGACCTTGCCCCCACCACCAGCAATACAAGCGCCAACGGGGGCGGTGGCGGCATCTGGCGCTACGGCAGACCGCGATTGTCCCAGTCCTCCGTGTCATCTTGGTCCAGTGTCGCCAGCTTCCCGGCTGGGACGCAGGTAGAAGTGTCGGTGGAGGACACAGGCATTGGTATTGCACAGGACCTGCTGGACGAGCTCTTTTTGCCGTACCGTACGGGACATGAGACCCAGGTTGGCGGTGCATCGGGCGAGTCGTCGTCGCCGAACGGGCTTGCTCCCACCTCCACTGGGAGGGTGTCCCGGTCTATTGGCGGCACAGGACTGGGGCTGTATCTGGTACGCCTGGCGCTTCGGGCGCAAGGTTCGGACATCACTGCCGAGTCGGCACCAGGTATTGGCTCTGTATTCAGATTTCGATTGCCGTTGGCGCAACAGTCGCAACAACAACATCCGGGCCATCATCATCATCACCATCATTATCATACGCATCATCATGTGAACGGGACCGCTCAGCCCTCATCGCCACCACAGCCGCTCACAGGGCCGCACCACCAGCAGCAGCAAGTGGTACTCGTGGAGGAAGTCTCGAATCAGACCCACCAGCAACAGCAGTCTCATGCGGATTATGAGTCCGGGTCTCACGCGCAGCTGTCGGGTTCCGGTTTTGACTGCGGTGAAGCGCGCTTCTCTTACCCTGTCTCCGCCGTCACTACCGCCAGCGATGGTTCCGGAGCCGAACGCGTCAGTGCGGCTCCATCCTCGCCCAAGCCGACAGTGCCATCGTCTCCAAAGCCCTGGGTTGCCTGTGCCACAGCGCGCCTGGTTAAGCTCAGCGCCGGCGCCGCTGCAGCTGGGAGTCGCACTGGCGATGGTGATGGCGAGAGCGGCGCCGCGATAGCAAGCGCAGGACCGCAACATCCACCCACTAGCGCATTCCTCTTGGGTGAATCCCCTGGCCCCCTCCATAGCCGTCCTCTACGCATGAGTCTGGATGAGCAGCGCAGGAACCTGCTTTTCCCGCAGCACAAGCAGCCGTCGTCGGCATCGGCATCAGCGGGGTCCCGCTGCAAAGCCTCCTGCACGGCGGAATGCTGTGGGCGGGAGCCGCCGGCGCAGGGTGCTGCAGTGTTGGGGGTTGCGTCTAAAGCAGCGGCGAGCACTGACATTCTATCCGCTGTTGCGGATGCGGGTCTAGGTGTTGCTGTGCCCCAAGTGACGACAGTACCCCCGTTGCGTCTCGTGACGCCGACGCTGACACCCGCACCGACGCCCACCGCCGCGATGACTCGAAACTCTACGGGGAACGTTATGTCGTCGTTGACACCGTTCGATGTGGCACACGCGATGGAGGAAGGACGCCAGCTGGCGCGGAGCGGGTTGCGGCCTAACTTCCGGCACCGGAACAACGGCACACTACAGGTGCGTGTGCCTCAGCGGCACTTCCCCTTGTCCCATTGTAAGGACAATGCGCGCCATGGTGGCGTTAGATGTGTGGGAATGACACCCCTCGCCAAAGTGTACGCACTGTCTCGCGGCATGTATGACTGATTGTGTGATTGCATACAGGTGCTGTCAGTAGACGACGACCCCATCAACCAGTTAGTGGCGGGCCAGATGCTGACCAGCCAGTCCTGGAAGGTCGTCAAGTGCATGAACGGACCCGAGGCGCTGGCGCACCTGCAGCTCGCCCCGAAGCCTGGCACCGTTGCTGCCGCCGCCGCTGCCGCGTCAGCGTCAGTTTCGGAACAGCCAGTGATGGGGGCCTCGGCGTCTGCGGCGGCTTCCCTGGCTGCGGCTGCTGCGGCAGCGCAGCCACTGCTGCTGCCTGCCGTCCTTCCGGATTGCGTCCTACTGGACGTCATGATGCCCGGCATGAGCGGATTTGAAGTATGCCGCAAGATGCGGGAGCACTTCAGCTCCGCGCAGTTGCCCATCATCATTGTCTCGGCCAAGGGAGATTCCGCGGCAGTTGATGAGGCGTTCGAATCGGGTGCCGATGACTACATGACTAAGCCGTACAAGCGTACGGAGATGGTATCGCGCATCAAGGCGCAGATTCGGACACGCGACAGCATCTTGGACGCCGCAGCGAGGGCAGCAGCAGCTGCCGCGATGCTGCCTGCGCAGCCTGCGCAGGAGCTGTCCCCTCCTGCACCGATCACGTCTGGGTCGACGACGACGGCATGGACGGGGTTGGGGACGGGAGGTACGCCTCGCGCGTGTTGCTCCTCTGCCGCTGCGAGGATGCTGCCCGCGTGCAGCGGCGCCGCGTCCGAGGTGCCGTCCCCCTCGCCGTCGCCGCTCCACCAGGTCGCTCACCAAGGGCCTCACCTGGACGCAAGGCCCACATCTGTGGACGTGTTTCTGCTGCAGCAGCCCACACCCAATGTAATCAAGATGCGCATGGGGGCGAGCCGGGGTGGCCTGGACGGCAGCTGGGGCAGGGTGGGCCTGTACAAGCGGGACGGCATGCTCAGCCGCACGGGCTTGGTGGAGGGAACGGTGACACCGTGGGACGCCGGCTTGCGGGAGGGGCCTCTTAAAGACCCGGTAACGGCACCAGCCATAGTCCTGGGCTCCCCTATGATCGACCTGCAACCCGTAGAAGGAAGCCTAACCGGCGCGGCCGGCGTTTCTGCTTCAGCTGGTGCCCCGGGATCCTCTAGCGACACGATACACAAGCAGGTGGTTGAACCGCTGGCGCCGGCGGCAGGGCTGGCGGAAGCGGCAGCAGCAGAGGTGGGCGTGGCTATCGGGATGAGTAAGCCTCCGGAGGCGCTGCCAGAGGCCACCATGGTCGAGCCGGCGAAGGAGCTGGCGTCGACAGCGAACACGCCTGGACTGTGTTTGGCTGGCGGCCAATCCCCGGCTGCAACGAGTGGCACGGGGAGATGTAGCTCTGACGCTGGCTCGGTCACAGCTGCTGGCATTGTGGCCGCGCTGGTAGATGTTGCGACTGCTTCCGGAGCCTCTGAAGGTGCAGTCGCCGAGGGCGCTGCCAGCAGCCGCGGAGATGGGGGCAGCAGTAGCGGCTGCAGGGGCTGTGGCGATGGCGGCGAGCCATCGGGTGCAGCGGCGCTGATGCGGGAGGTGCTGACAGAGGTTCGGCGAAGCCGCGTTGTTGAGGCAGACATTGAGAGGCTGACCTCACGCGTGGCTGCACTTCGTACGGCATGCTGTACCCTGGCGGCTGAGCGTGACGGCTGGCGGCGTCAGGCACGGGACTTGCGGGCACTGCTGGCCGCGGGTCTTGGTGGCGCCATTGCCGTTCCTGCTGTGTCAATGCCGGTACAGGCCAAGGCCCGCAACTCGGCGCAGCCTCACCTAGCACTGGCAGAGGCACTGGCGGCGGCGCACGGCAGCCGCTCGAGCGCTGACAGCTTGGGCATTACCGGCGGTGGCGCTCCGAACGGCGGCGCGGTGGCGGCGCAACTGGAGGATCTGAAGAAGGAAGCGGCACTGCTACGGCAACAACTGAGCATGGCACTGGCTAGTGTGGGCGGTAATGGCAGTATCGCACTGGGGGGGGCCACAGATACGGGCGGCAGCCGGAATTTCGGCTTGCCCAGCAGTTGTTTTCCTGCCGTACGGCCACAGCGCGGCCTGCTGGGGGCGCCGCGCACCTCCGACTCCCCACACTCGGCAGCCATAACCCGCGTCGGAGCAACAGGTGACCAGGATCGCTCCGGCGGTGGCGGCGGCAACGACGGTGCGCCGCCGTGGGGCGTGTCTGTGTTCCCCAATACAGCGTACGTGCCGCCACCTGACATTTTCCTTACCACTGAGGCGAGTGGTCTGTCTGCGGGTAGCGGCCCGGGAGGTGGGGCTTGTGAAGGCTGTGCCAGCGGGGAAGCCGGCGCAGGCGGCTGCCATGCTGCCGGCGCAGCTGCCAGGCACGGCAAGAGGGCGCTTACGAGGGCTGCTTCGTCCGGGGTAGCTGGAGCCCCAGGGTTGGTGTCGCGGGCGGGACTGGCGGCGGCGGCTGAGATTGCAATAGCTAAGCACGCAAATGGCGGTGGCGGTGGCGGCGCCGCTGCCGCAGGGGGCAGCGTTGGCAAGGAGGACAATGCTGCCGCGCCTGTACGGGCTAGCGGCGACGGCACGTCCGATGCGGCGGTTGCATTAGCCCTGCCTCAGCTTCCGAAGGGGGACACAGCTCAGGTTCTGGGCGAGCTGAGGGGCAGTAGCGTAGCTAGTGAAGGGGGGCGCCGGGCTACCGCCTCGACCAGCGCCGGGGATGAGATGTGTCGTGTGAGCAGCACCGCCCGCGCGCCTGTGGTGCAGGCATCTTCGTCGCGTGGCTCCCGTTCCAAGGGTGGTGGTGGAGGTGTAGCCGGCACTTCTGGCATCCTGCGGTTGTTGTGCAGTAAGGGCGCTGCACCGACGGGTTCCTCGCCCAACGTCAGCCCACATAGGCGCAACCCTCATCATCAACAGCAGCAGCAGTAGCAACTCCGCATCCTACATGTTAACAACAACAAAGTCACACTGCATTAAGAACCACATCAAACATCATCATGAGCAGGAAGAGCATCGTAAGTGAAGGTAGGAGGAGAACAGAACAGTGGCAGTCGGGTGGCAACAAGAAGGATGTGACACGACGTTTTCGTAGCAGCGATTAGGGTAGGAATGGTGCTATATGGTGGTTCAAGTAGCAGCAAGCATATGAACTTGAGAGCAATGGAACTCATTTTTCTGCGTGCAAGACCGCACGCGTTTTATGGATTGCGAGGCAGTTGGATTGAGTCGTCATTGTGCGGACGCTCATATGCTGCAGCTGTGCGAAGATGGCCCTTTGGAGTATTGGCAGATTTTGGAAAATGTATGGAAAGGTCCTCTGCTTAAGATGGCGCCACGCAAAGGGTTGGCTGACGGACGCGCTCTGTTTCACGAAGCCACGCTTGCTTGATCTGCTTCGCTTTGTTGTTTTGCCAGCATATATTTGCACTGCTTTGATGCGAGAACTGCATCCGAACAGGGCGATTCATTTCCGGGACTGGGACCTGAGGGAGGGTAAAGGAGGCAGGAAAAGCGCACCATTGCTGTGAAGTCCCGGGCGCCGCCCGCGGGCCTTTCAGCGGCCGGTGGGCAATGGACTCCTTCGAAGGACCTCATCTCACCGTGGGGCAACGTGTACGGGTGGCGACGTACGTGAGCACCACTGCGATCTAAGGCTGCTTGGCGGCTCTATCTATCCAAGAGCCCTGGCGCGCAGCCACAGCAGGCTGCCGGGCCCGGGTGCTGATTTTGTCCCATATCCAAGCGATCCAGATGGAATGTATGCTCGGAGGGCGTGCATAAAATAAAGGAACATTACCAATGTGGGAAAGGTTGGCTTGTGTGTGCGACGGCGCTTCTGGTTTCATAACCATGTGTCTTGGCCTTTTACGGGTGGCCCTGCGAGCCTAGTGGTACGAATGAGTACGACTGTTACATCATGTGGGTCGAATATATGCTGGGGAAGCGCTGTCTTGTCCGACAAGGACGCGCCTTGGTTTTCCTACCCCACCTTCCCCGGGCGGTCATGTACTGAGTTCCACATCCGTGGAAGTGGGTCGCACTGGGCAAATTAGGAGCACGGGGCGGCCGCGGTACGGGGTTGACTTGCATGGCTAACAGCTCTGGTGCTCAGGATCTGTGTGCCTCCTGTTGTGGTGTACCGCGAGAGCTTCCCTAGCCGTCTTGGGGGGTTAGAGGTGCCTGGGTGAGCTGCAGGAGGCCGCACTACAGTTTTCGAACGAGTGAGATCCGGGTCTTCGTCTGCCGCTTGTGGCCTTAAAGATGGACGGTGTGGCTAATACGAGTGCATAACTTGGTGAAAGTGGGAGTGGCGGGAGGCACCAATATGGTGCGGTGGTGGGTTCAGGGCAAAAGGCATTGTGGACACACAGGGTCCGACAGATGCCTCCAGCGATCATGTGGGGGTCGACTACACGGATAGGAGCGAGGACGATGGCCGAAGAATGCGGGGTTACTGTTTCAGTGCTTTTTCTGTGCGCGGACGATTATCGTTCGGTGATGGGGAGCGGGAGCGAGCAGAAGATCGGACATATCCTGGACGCAGGGGGATTGCAGAAGGCGCCAAAGGGGGGCGCCTCGGAACGGGGGGCCAGTCGCCCAATCACGGCATCCTGGGACCGGCTGTGGTTTTGTACAGATGTCGAGAAGCTGGGGGGTTTCCTGGGCCCAATGGGTGTCCCGAAGAGAAAGCTGAGAGTTGCATGCACATGATTTGCTTCTCGGGGGTTTTTCCTCAGGGTTTACGACAGGACCACTCCGGTCCGATGGAATTTAGCACATGGAGGTTTGGATCATGGCCCCAAAAATGATTCACCTCTGTACAGTGCATGAAATTGTACGGCTAGACGTGTGACTAAACCGAAGCCATTTTCGCTACATAGACGGCCAAGACAGCCCTAGTGTCTGAAAACTACATAAGGTCTCTAATTCGACACAACACGCACTCCAGGTTGGCAAGGCCATCAGTTTGCGTTTCAATCCGGAACGAGCTGTGCAACGTGAAAGTGACAAATCCTGGGGTGACAGCTAAACCAAAACCCGGCACGGACTTGCAGGTCCGCACGCATGGTGCCAAATTATCTTCATGAACACTGCTGAATGGGGAAAGTGATGTCCCAGCGTACATGCCGCCCAAGGCAATGGCATCCACACCGAGGCCACCGGTACGCGGCGTGCTTATCCCCCACACAAACGAATTGATATCAAATCGACACGCCCTGTCTTGACATTCCCGACGGCTTGCATGCGGGAACGTCGTGCACGCGTACTGCGCAACCACGCGGCATAGGCTATACACTCACTCACAAACTCATGTGCACAATCACGCACTGTACAGCATTGCGGGCAGCTGGGGTATCTTCGGTTAGTGGCTGGTGCATGGCGAGCGATGATGCAAGGCTTACTCCCCTTCCGTGACCTTCATCGCAGACGACGCCCATTGCAGTTCATGTCGTTGCTTGGGGCTTTCCACGTCATGGTACGGAGCTGCGGGTCTTGGAGGGGGCCTCTATCTGCTGGTTCATGGTTGGCTTGCGGCGGGAAGCACCGGTGATCCGGTCGGATTTAGTACAACGTTAATCAGTCAACTTGAATTGAGGCAACCACATGCAGCCTTGACAATTCTACCTACCGCCCTGGTGAGATTTGGTCCGGGCATTTGCGTGTGCGTGTGGGCGACTTATAAAGATCTGGAAAAGATCGTTTATGTAAGATCCCGAACGTCCCTTGCTTTTTGCCAATCGACAGGAACCTAATTTCGTGACATGCAGCCACTGCACTTGAAACATCAGTTGGACATTAAGTGTTGCTAAGCTACCGTATTGACTTAATAGGCCAGATTGGCAGGTCTTGGCTGTCGGTGGTAAGTCCTCTATTTTATGTGTACGAATTCGACGTCTTCTTCCCCTCTCGCGGACAGCTTCCACTTAGGGTGCATTCCAGTGCGGATTAAGGCCAGGGATTAACCCTCTGTCCTCCATCGATACTTGCTCAAACGGCTAAGTTGTTGGCAAACTTACCTCGCCTTTTCAACCTTTGGTTCCCTTATGGAACAAAACTATGTGGTAAGCTCGTACCAAGGAATTCCGTGCCCTAATCCCTGGCCTTAATCCGCACTGGAAATGCACCCTTAGCGAGAAACCTTGCGCCAACAAAATCGTTTCTGGTAGAATTAATGTTTTTTGTATGTTACGGATCATAGTGCGTATAGATTGTGTACGTAGAATGAGCAGTAAGTCTTCCGCGGACCAGACCCATGCTCGTCAAGCGGTTGGGAGGAAGCTTCTAGCCGTTGCACGGAAAGTACTGCTTTACTAAGCTGCTGTGAACGCAGCTTCCATTTGGAAGCTCCGCAAAACAAGCTAGAACTGTGATTAGCAAGGAAGCGCACGGACATGCAGTACAATAGGTGTCCACTTAAAAAGCGGCATTTCACTCCGGAAACAACATCAAATTAGCCGACAGAAATTTACACATCGTTCTTAAACGCCTCTGTATTCTTTATTCTACGTTCGTGGCTGTGCCAAAGCAAGCGTAGCACCGTGTAAGGTGGGAAGTCGAAGCCACTTCTTCCGCGCAGACTGTCTGTTGGTCGGCCAGCACAGTATTTTTGCAAATTTTAAGGGTAAGGCATAATCATGTTATGCTTGAAATTCCATTTGTATAGATGTACAGATGTACATTAGGTTAATTCCTTGCTTGTTGCCGACCTCACCCCGATGATTATATGAATGCTGCGCTTCGGAGCTATATGGCCCTGCCTAACTGACGTTTCAAGCTCAGTGTTTTTGAGCTTGACAATAAATTATTCTCGCGGTCGCCTCAGGCCTGTTCGTCCCTACCTGCCATGTTTTTTTGCTTACTTTGTAACGGGCCCATCGTCCCACATCCATCAGGCTGCGATGAAGACCGTGTCGTCTCTGTTCTTCCTCGTCTTCGTGGTGGCCCCTGGACTGCTGCTGGCGCGGACGAGCACTGCCGCCAAGCTCCGAGGGCTGGGAGCGCTCAGAGAGGAGACGACGGCCCTGTTGGACGGGAATGAGGCAGGTAGGCAAATAGTACAAGCTAATCGACCAGCCATACGGCTGTGCTTTATGTAAATACGTTGAAACCAACGTAGGTTGGGTTACGCCATTACATGGCAGCGAGTCCGCTGCTGACACAATTTCCATCAGGTGGTCCTTAGTAGCTTTAGGCGCTGGGAGGGTGAGAACTCATTCAACTGTTTAGTTGTCAGGAAGCCGCGAAACCTGCTGAAAAAGCAGTTATTAGATAGCCTCTCTCAAGAACATTGCTCCACTGACGTACACCTATTCCTGGAATTCCATAGTTAACATACACATACTGCACACCGTTCTTCATCATCGCTAGTGCACCTCCTCAGCCTGCCTCCTCCGTGCGCCCCGCTGCTGCGGTCGCTGGCCCCACTCCTTGCACTGATGCAGGAGCTGATCTGGACAGCGGTCAGGCGGCGGACGTGAGGGCCGCAAGGAGGGCCGCCGCGGAGAGCGCCACAGCAGCCCTCTGGCCCTACCCCTGCATTCCCCTCCGCCGGCTAGCTCAGCTCCCTGCCGACACAGTACTCCCGTTGAGGCCCTGCCCTGACGACTTCCCCGAGGATTTCCCGCCGCCTCAGAAGAAGCCCCCGCCTCCGCCTCCTGTGAAGAAGCCCCCGCCGCCGCCGCCTGTGAAGAAGCCACCGCCGCCGCCGCCTGTGAAGAAGCCGCCGCCGCCGCCACCTGTGAAGAGGCCCCCACCCAATGATATCAACGATCCCCGCTGCCGCATCGCTGGAAAGTCCGGTGGTGTCAACGCGAAACCAATTTATTGCCCGTGACTGTTATTATATTATATGTGCGTTGCGGTCGGTCGGTGCATGTGCACGGATTCCATTATATGACCTACCGGGTCGTGCAGGATGTAGCGTACATAGGATGAAGCGTATATAAGACGTAGCGTATATAAGGCGTAGCGTGTATAAGGCGTAGCATGTATAAAGCGTAGCGTGTACATAGCAGGCATGTACATAGGTAGCCTCGTACGGGCAGTCCCGTTGCTTGTATTCGTGATTATCCAACCCGAAAACAGATGTAGATAGAGACTGGTAGGAGGGCCTATGCTCGCCGTAGGCGGCGCCTTGCATGGACGTAGATGGACGTTGACTGCAGAAATTGACGCTGCTTGCCAGCATGCAGATGTACGGTTATGAGTCGCTTGTACAGATCATCAGACCCTTGCTTACTGTACGTCTGTTGATATTCTAGACGTACTATGACCACTACTACAGGTGGATGGCAGTGGGCTCTGCTGCTGGGCTGCTGATTAGCTTTTCCCACATCTTTATAGCTAGGCGTTTGTAAGGCGCCTCCTCAGCTCCTGTGTACTGCAATGACTTCGTTCGTAGGCATGTATGAAATTTATCTGCTGGTTTTTGCCCGATCGCTCAAGGCGTGATTGCCCGTGTCTCCTACCTGACTTTCACGCAAACAACGCACGGCGGCAAGGTACTAATCTTTACACAAACCAATGCGCGTGCAATAGGGATGTAATGCTAGGGATTGTGACCCCTTAGCTTGCCGGGTGCCAGCAAAATATCCATACGACCTAGCTGTACAAAGCCCTTTTAGGTATGGCCAACCACCTGTCGGACGGGGAGGCAGACGCAATGAAGTCATTTAAAGAGCAAGTTACGGGGCGGGGAGAATTTTCACACGGCAGACCGAAGTTCGATTATTGAGACGCTTTTATTGGGAACTGATGGTATAATCGTGCTTAAGGATCGCCCTTAAGGTCAAGCGGCAGGTAGTACCGTACTGGAAGAATCATTGAGTGGATGCTGATGTCCACCACACAGTACGGCCCTCTAAGGCGGTGAGGCAGACGCAATCACAGCTCATCCTAAGAATGTACATCCCCAACGTTTCTGAGCTCCTGACAAGTCTTGGTGGTCGGAATTTAGGCCATCCTGACCTAGTAGCCTTGTTTTCGAATACAAATGAAATAAGCCCGCATGCGTTGGAGCTCTCATCTGTTCGCATATGCGAAAAACGCATCCTATCATTCGACGCCCTACCCGTCTGGCAGACAGCTGCAGCTACTGTTAACTGCAGCTACTGTGTTGTCCCAGCATTAGACGTCACTGCCCTAACAACAATATATCTTTCACTTGATGGATTTTGCGCGATTGTAGATAGCGCAGACAGACAATTATGCAAGTAGCAAGTCATACGCGTAAGAGCTTGTGGCGACCGGGGTCCTGACGCGACCATACCCATGCTGCGGCGTGCTCGCCAAGTAAGCTAGTCAGCTGGGAGGAAGCTTCCTAGGTGTACGCAGCAAGGAATGTTGCTCGTACAGCACAAAAGGGCCGCAACCAGTAACTGGCTTGCTGGATTTCATAATAGACATCTTTCCCGTTGAATTTTTTACGCATGTCCGACGCGTATCAATCCAATATGTAAACCCGCCAGCTGTACCCAAAAGCATTCCGTTTGAAACGTAAATTCCTTAGCGGATTCAGCCCGGATGATACACCATAGCAAAGAACAACACAGCCCCCCCATTGTTCCACCGTCGCCCATCTTCGTTGTAATACCGGCAATCAGCACGGCACTCTTTCCGTCAGCCACATGCAACGCTGCGCCTGCTGCAGTGCACACCCGAAAACCCACAAAATTGCCCTCAGCATGCTTGGAACAGAAAACATCCCAGTAAACACCCACGTCCGAGCCATGGCCAGGAGAGCATTCTCGTAACCGTCAAGGTTTCTTCGGGAGGCTTTCCGCCTTGCAGCGGTGTTCCTTTCTAGTTGGGAGCACTTCCGGCGCCATCCGTGCCGCCGACCCGCTGCATAATGCGACGGGGTGCAGTGCATGCAGTCCCGCTCACTTCTTCTTCTTCTTGGCAGCCTTCTTGGTCTTCTTGCCACCCCCTGCCAGGGCCTTCCGTACACGGTATCCACGCCACCAGGCCTGGATTATGATGGCCGCCTGAACCCGTCGCGCCTCGCGCATTTCCTCAAACTCGACGCGCTCGCGCTCCTCTGCTGCCTTGAGCTCTCGCTCCCGCTTCAGCGCCTGCTCCATCTTAAACTTCTCTTCGGCCTTCTTCAGCTCCAACAAGTCGCGGGCATGCTGCTGCTTCAGCATCTGCCACACACAGGAAACACGGCCAGGAACAGGAGAAAGCGAACCTTCACATGCGATACATGGTCGTTAAATTCAGCGCAGGTCGCCGCTGCTCCTTGTACCATTGGCAGGGAAGAAGTGTCTGTATGCTGGTACCTGCTCAATCACAGCCTTACATTGGGTTTCGAATGGACAACTATGCACGGCTGCGGCGCACGACATGCAAGCGACTGCAGGTCCTTCGTAGCTACAGTGCATGTGCACGGAAAAAAGTAAGGTTGCAGGCCGCGAGACCAGCGTGTGGCGGACCAGCGCTGGCCCACTCCACCCCAAGAAACCAGCAAGCAGCCATAGCTCACCTCGAGCTCCTTCTCCCGTGCGGCAAGGTCCTCGTCATGGCGGGATGCCCAGCTGACACTGTCCTCCTGCATCTTGGAAGCGATTTGCCGGAGGAACTCGGCCTGCGTATGCACGTTAAAGCGTCGCCACACAATTTCACACGCGCCAGCCTTACAATGCGGGCCAGAAGGCTTGCCCCAAGTGAAAGAGTGCCCGGCAAGATGTGCGTAAAACTCGAGCATTCGAGGCCCATGAGGACCAGCAAAACATGGCTGCGGGGTAGCTATTTCAGACCCAGTCCGGGGCAAGCAACCAACCTGGGTCGCGTGCACCGCCTTCTCGATATCGATTTGCTGTTGCACAAGTCCCAGTTCCTTTAGGAGGTCCTCCAACTGCAATCGGCGAAAGGATGAGAAATAAAAAGAAAGGAAGGGATCAGAAGTGGTGAAAAACTAAGCCGGCTTTGAACGGGCTTACCTGAGTCCGCTGCAGGCGGCGCTCGTGCTCGTTCGAGGCGGTGAGATCCTTGCTGAGGTAGCGGGTCGACACCGCCGTATCCATTTTTAGCGTCTTGAGCTGTTCCTTTAGAGACACCAGTCCCTTCTTCTTCTCCTTCATCTGTGTAAGGCCACGGCGTCAACCAAGGCTTAAGCCGTCGGGTCCGGCCTTCCCGCTCATGCAGGCCGTCTAGGATCCCAAAAAACAGAAAAGTGTGAATGATGTCTTCACCAGTTGGCCCCCAACAGCATCAAGATGCAAAGGGCCATTCGTTAACTAATCCGCTCCTCCGCAGAAGGTCGCTCCCTGTCATGCCTGCCCCATCCATCCGCGCCGCGCTGCCTCCAGCATGTATCGGCCTAGCCAGCCAAAGACAACTACCATTGCTTGTTCATGCCCAGGGTCAAGGAGGATCAATATCCTTCACAGGACGGAAATGGTGTTCTGGGTTCCTGTGCAGATGCACTCTTATGCTGCTCTGTACAAGCCTTCCAAGACTCCGTCCTCACCTTTTCCTCGTGGTCCAGCTTCTCCTCGCGCAGGTCGTTCCGGAGCTGCCGCACAGCCGCCGTCGTGTTCTTCTCGCGCTCGATGGTCTCCTCCATGGCCTGCTCGGCAGCCTCCTGTGCCATGACGCTCTCCAGCAACGGCTGCAGCTTGCCGAACACCTCAATCTCGTTAAGGCAGCCGGACAGCAGCAGCTGGAGCGCCTGACGCTCACTGGCCACCTGAAGAACGGCACACGGCGTTGACCCAAAGTGGGGGCCTTTTGGCGCGACAATAACCATCATAAGCAGTTGCCAGGGCCGGACTCGAATACTGTGACTGCCGGTAACCGATATTAGCAGGCATTGCTCGCTAGACGGAATCGACCCATATCCCAATCTCTTTTCCGAGCACCTGCCTGGGGGCCCAGGTGGCTTTCGCAAGCCCCGACGTTATGGTCACCGCCGTCACATTGGACAAATCTCTTGCATACCAGCTTTTGCGGCGTCTCTCAGCATGCAGGCGAGGCCTTGCGCATCGGTACGGTAAGTCGGCACAACAAGGTGGGGTTGCCAAAAATGCGCACCTTCAGCATATTCTCCGCGACGTTCGGGTTGTCCTTCAAGTTGCGGCACAGCTGCTTGGTGCTTTGTCGCAAAGCCTCTGCGACCTTCTGGAGCTCGTTCTGCGGTTTGCAGAGTGCGGGCCATGCATTGTTCAGGCAACCGCTGACGAACAATTTGCGCGTTGAAGCTTCATAAACAAGTGGGCATACCAGAATTTGTTTTGTTCAATCCTCACTGCCTAGCTGAAGTACCACATGTGTCAGGATACCTGAAATTAGGCTAGGGAACTAGGGAAACAGGCTAGGGTTGTGTTCTTCAGTGCTACTGCAGCATTACTTCTGTATGCATTATCCATAAATAACCCCTTGCTCTCCCCTGCAGCTAATCACCTGGTTCTCCATCAGCTTCGTCTTGTTTGGCTGATGGCGAAGTACGTGCTGCATCGCCACAAGCTCCTCGAAGCGGCCCTCAAGCTTCTTCTGCTCAGCAATCATGCGGGAAATCTCCTCCCCCACGCTCTGAGTAAGCTCATGAGCTTGAACCTTCGGATCAACTGTGATGACGCCGACAAGCGCAAGCTTTTCAAGAGTCTGCTTTAGGATTGCGTAAATCTGCGTTTGACATGGTACCGAGGACCGATGGAACATACTTCATCAAGAAATAGTCCAAGGGCCTTAAGATTGCACCGAGGTTGCCATATCCTGATCAAGGGCAAAGCATCCCGGAAGGGGCCGCGCAAGGTCCTCACATGCGTTGCTTCCAGCGGAGTCAGTTGCGCGCATTTCTCCGTTGCCTGGCGCGTGATCTCAGGCGGTATCTTGCCGCTCGTGTCCCCCACGCCAACCATTTTACAAAGTCCAGAGCTGAGCTAATAGTAACAAGGTTCCTGACGCTCGTCCCCAACAGCCAGCAAGAATGTGGTAAAAATTAAAAGTCAATCCTTCGAAATGAAAAGACTCTAGTTAGGCTTGGAGAAACCCGCTGAGGCTCCCCCTTTCAATAAGCATGGCAGAGGCCAAACCTAAGGGAAGTCAGCTTATCACTGCCTGAGCGAACATTTTTTTGTAAAATTTTACGTGACACGCTTAAGGACGATCGAGTATGATAACTAACCCATGTAGGTGCGCACAAGTTTTTGCCGTACAGGTGTTTCTTCCGGTACTGAAGCCAGCACATGAAAAATCTCCGATACAAGCAATCTCCATTTCCATCTTACCCTAGTAATCCCCAGTTCGTGTTGCAGGCGTTTCGCCTGAAAGGGTTCAGGCGCCGCAAGCAAGATATCAGGCACCGATACAAGGGGCCTCCTTTACTAGTGTGCATGACCCCTTACAAGTCAGTTGTAAAACACAGAACTTGGCAGCTTTGACTTCAGCCTTGATCGGTAAGGAGCGCAATATCGGCGCTGCTATTTGGATGACCCAACTACCTGCCACGACCCACAGACCGTTCCTGACCAGGCGGAAACGATTCAGCGCCACAGGCTGGCCTCCAAATCCCCTCGCTTGAGAGAACGTTGAAACTCCTTACCATGCACAATCCCGACCGCCGACGCACACGCACGCATTCCCTCCCAACTCCAACAGATCCCAGCCGTCCAAGCACCCGACCACCGCCTACACACCACCAGTCGCGCACCCCTGCCCTAGCCTTCCATACCTTCCATACCCGCCTTGGAAAATCCAACATTTTTGCACTCGCCGCCCCCCCTTCTCTGCTTCATTCGTCAGGGCTTCGTCTCACACCCCCTCCCCTTGCAAGGCTGGACACCAAACCCTTCCATTCTCATCGCCTTTCCTTCATTATGCACACCAGCTTCCGGTCGTTATACCTTCCACCATCTCGTCATTCCTGCTTTCCAATCCCGCCTTCCACCCTTCAAGCTAGCAACTCCGCTGCCACGCGCTCTTGCTGCTCCAGCACCTTTCGATGCCTCTCCACCACATCTACGCTGCCGCCGCCGCCGGCCGCCGCTCCCTGGCCCGCCGCCACCCTCGCCTGCAACACCTGCCCCAGCCGCTCCAACACATCCAGCAGCTGCAGCTGCACCTCCACCAGCAAACCCGCCAGCTCGTCTACGGTCACGCCTGCAGGCAGCTGCCGCCGGCCGGAGCCCACCGCCTGCAGCCGCTCACAAGGACCGCGCACGCAAGACAGAAGCAGCACCACAAGGCGAGGGGTGGAGAGAGAGTGTTTTAGAGGGATTTAGGCTACCAGAGATGGGGATACGGCGGGATCAGTGGGTTGTGGACCGTAATGGTGTTGGTGGGGGCCCCTCCAAGCACACGGGGTAGCAATTGCTTGGGACCATACGCGGTGGGGTGATAACTATGTACAAAAGGAGTTTAAGAAATAACTAGGCACCAAATAGAAGTGTCTTAGGGTTGACCATGACGGAGTGGGTTGGTGGTTCCTCCAGGAGGCATGGGAGCGAGGCGAGAGCCAGCGCGGAGTTAAGGATAAAAACAAGCGGATAAAATTGGTAAGCAATGGGCCTCACCCGCAGGCATCGGCATCCTGTGCGACAGCCATGTAGCACCACCAGTAGCAGTTGGCTGCAGGCGTGCTTAGGATCCCGTAGGCCCCCTGGAAACAGCCAGAACCCCTAGGCCTTCTTCCTCCTGACGTTGACTCCTTGTTCCTTGCATATGATTCCCCCGAGCTGCCCTCTTCAGCTTATTACTCACAACCCTTGCCGGCAATGCCCGGAAACACATCCACTCTGCAACTAAACCGCCTCGGACTCAGTATCGGCCTCGGCACGGACAAGCACGGCCAGGGAACCCTACTATACGACACGTCATGGCATGTTGCCCCACAAATGCTCCGTGGTTGGCCTTACGACCATTTGATGGCCAGGCACCACCCGCGCACCTGCAGCAGCTGCTTGCCCGCGTGCGCTGCCCCCGTAAGCGCCGCCGCCGCCTGCTCTAACCGGCGGTCCGCCAGCGCCAGCTCCGCCACAGGCTCCGCCGGCGGCAGCGGCACCTGCGAAGCCAGCCGGGGACCCGAGGGCTCCCCGGCGGCCGGCGATGGCGACGAGGAGGGCGGTGCCTTGGCGCCCTCTTTGCTGCCAAATGGCCACCAGGACCAACCCCTTCGCGTGGGTGAGATCTGGGAAGAGGCGGAATTCGGAGGCGAGGTCGCGGCATCGGTGCTGTTGGGGTTGCTGGACGTAGAGGCGGTTGCAAGTGTGGTTGCTGCTGGATCACCCACTCCCGCCAGAGTGGCCACGAGCTTGGCGGCGCTGCCCAGCGTGTGAGCCGCCCGCAGCCGCTTCAGGAGCCTGGGGAGCAGCAGCAACAGGGCACGACCCATGGGTCAGGTAGCGCCCACCATGAATCGGAGGTTCGGACAACAAAGCGTAGCTCTGGCGTGGCGTGGCGCAGTCCTCCGCGAGGGCGTAATGAGCCTGACCCGTACAAACGATTCAGGATAAGGCATGCAGACGCCATCTCTTCCTCTGCTTCGTCGTTGCATAAAACGAAAGAGGCGAGGACAGGGCAGCGCTGGGGCCTTTCCTTGGCGGAAACAGTGGCTAAGGTGGTGCGGCTATTGTGGGGCGTACGGCGGGGGGAGACACACCCTCACCTTTCCGGGGACGGCCCCGACAGCAGCCCTCCCCTGCTGCACTCCTCCACGTTGGCGGCGCTGATCCGGGCGGCAGTCTCCGCGTGTTGTAACGCCCGCAGTGCTGGACCGGGGCCCGCAGCCGCATGCTGCTGCTGCTGATGCGACGGCGGTGATGAGGCGGATGGCGGAGACAAAGCTAGGGATGGCTGCTGCGACGCCGTAAGTCGTTGGACGGCAGATAACAGCTGCAGCTGCACAGCTCGGGAAGCCGTCGGAGCGGGAAAAAGATGGGAGAGACAGCGTGAGAGACTGATGTTGGGGTGGGGACATTGCCAGGGACAGGAACTCGGGCGGAACAGGGAAGGTCCCAGTAGACAAGCAGCGGGGGCTAGCCAGGGGAGCAGCGGCAGACTGGAAGGAACAGGTGCAAGGCTTTCCCCAAGTCTCTAAGCCTGCGCCCGAGCGAAGGATGGCTTGTAGAGTGGATTGAGCTATTCACAGTGCGAAGGGGTAAATGGACTGAGCAAATAAGGGCCCCACGGTTTGAAGTGCGGACCAGGTAACCATAGCTTGGCGGGAGGCTTGGCAACGCAGGAGAAGGGGTCCTTTCTTCACCTCTGCTGACATCGCCGTTTTCTTCGTCCCATGCTGCCATTTTCTCTTCCACGACTATCTGACTCGATATTGATCCGTCATTCGTGAGAAAAATTCCCCCTGGCAACCCCCACCTGTGCCACGCGCATCTCACTCTGCGCCACCACCAGCGCTTCCTCCCCGAACATCTTCCTTCGCGCCGCCAGTGCCGCCTCCGCTGCCGCCGCCGCCGCCGCTGGCTGGCCCGCCGCCGCCAGGGCTTCCGTCAGCTGCTCATTGAGTGCCGACGCCGCGGCGGCCTCCTCACTCCTGTCTGTCGCCATGTGCGCAACGGCTCGGCGCAGTGCGGATGCCGCCAGGTCGGGGCGGCCGCCAGCTGTGTGGGCGTTGGCGATTTCGGTGAGCCAGTAGAGCACCACGTTCACCTGAACCTTCTCTGTGTAAGACAATAAAATAACATAACAGGTGGATGGGATCTACGGTTGAGTGTGATCTTCTCACGCATGGGGGAGGTTTCCTTTAATTCAGGCTTAACTTGGGTGAGCATGGATGCGTGGATGTGTGGGCATAGCGCATAGGTCACCAATTAAGTAAATCCAGCCGAGAGCCAGGCAGTTAGCGGGTGCATTGGAATTGCTATGCAAAACAAACAGCCATACCCCCAGCACACACACACACACACACCTGCTTCTTCCAGCAGCCGCACCGCATCCTCCATCATACGCAGCCCCTCCGTCCCCTGACCCGGTACAGCCAGCAACATGTGACCCAGCGCAAAAAGCGAGTCGGCGTACAAGAAGTGGCGCGGTCCGAACATGGAGAGCCGCAGAGCCAGAACACGCTCCATGCTGGCTCGGGCGGCGGCCAGGTCGCCCCGGGCCTCGTAGCTGAGCGCCAGGTTATGCAGGGCCGCCACGAACAGCCAGTGTTTCTCGCCGAAATTGCGCTCCAACAGTTCCAGAGCCTGGGATGTGGATAGTGTGGAGGGGCAGGAGGCCTAGGAAGGGTCGGATGGGTTTCGGTGCCACGGCAGTCGCCCGAACCGAGCAGTTGGAACGATGGAAACGCACAAATGTCAAGAGTTGGATAGGGCCGTATAGGTTGTTTGACAAACGCAGAGTTTCCAAACCACAGCGACGGTGGCCACGAAACGGGACACCTTCGCGCTCTGCGTACTTCTGCTTTTTGTGCCTGGGCCCGGCTCCGAGGTTTCTTTCTTGCGCGCAGGGAGGTTGACGCGGACATAAACGTAGGCGGCGAGGAGGCAGGTGGGGAAAATATTGAAGGAAATGGAGAGAAAAGACCTTGAAGCAGCACCCCACGAAAGGAAGTACCGCATCAAGCGGATGGACCGGAGGGAGCGGGCGGCATCTCATGCCTCGCCACTACCGGAACCGCCTCCTTTCCCGGGGCCCTAGACAGGCAAACAGACGGACAGACTCACCTCCTTGTACAACGCTTCCGCCTCGTCCCAGCGGCCTGTGTTGCGTAGGAACTCCGCCAGATTGTTTTTCGCAGAGGCGATGTGCGGATCTTGGGGTTCGAAGCCCAACTGCGCCTCTGCCACAGCCTCGCGGAATTTAGCCTCCGCCTGAGCGTACCTAGGAAGTACGGAGGTGGGGTGGGATCATACGATGGATAAAGAAGCCAAGGATCAGCTGCGATGCCCAAAGCATCACCTGCTGGAGTCCAAAGCGATGATGCAAGTGCCCGTAGCTGGCGTAAGTTCAGGTGGGGTCAGGGAGGGAGTGTTACTGATTGGAAACGCATGCAGGAAGGAGACGCCAGCCAGCGATGGAAAACTGCCGATCGCGCGGGAGGCGTCAGGGAAAGGCATTATGGTATTCGTACGGTATAATCGTGTACGACGCTCACTTTCCAATATTGTAGTACTCCAGAGCTGCCGTACGCGCCATCGTCATCTTGGCGGTGTGCTCGTTAGTGACTGGATCGTACTCCAGAGGGTGGTTGGTGAGCGCCGGGGCTGCGTCACCGCCAGCACCACTGCCCCCGCTGCCGGCTGCCGTACCTGCTACCGTCGCTGCCCCCGCCGTCTGAAGTACGGCTGGCGCAGGTAGCGAAGCTGCACTCTGGGTTCATGCGGGACATGAGCCAATCGCTGAACAATTCATGAATGCCACGGTGGTGAGTTAGGATACGCCCGCATTGCTTGGTTTGACATGCACGCTACAAATCTTCCCAAATTGTACGGTAAATCTGTATGTACGGCGGGAAACTTCATAAGCCGCGCTGCAGAAAGGAAGCGATTACGGTGAAACATCTGATAAGCGGCTTGGAGGTTGCTTCGACCCCAATTCCGACTAGCAAGGCGGCCAGGTAAATGGGCTAAAGCACAGGACATGACAAATACTTCGCAAGAGATTGTCACGGTGCACAACGTGGTGGGGTGCGTCTAGCGCGGAGAAACGCAATAAAAGACCCTGACGCCCAAGGAGTTGGCAGGCCGTCACACGAAAGGTTGTCGAACCTTCCTTTAGCAGGGTGTTTAGCAGAGCTCCCACCATGTAACAACAACAACAACACTCGAAGTTCACCACACGCACGAGGCTGCTTGACAAGGAGAAACAAGACGCGGACACTTGTCGACGAGTCGGACCTGACGGGTCGGGGTATCGGCGTTGCATTTTCCAGAAGCAGCAGCTGCGACCGCCAGGAGCCAGGCGGCCCAGGTTGCTGCGTTAAGGATATGTGGCAGTAGTGGAAGGCATGCTAAGCAGCAAGGGCATCTCGCAAAGGCGCATGCAGGGGGAATCCGCTCAGAGAGGTGAAGGGCAGGCATTGCTGTGCTTCGCAGTTGCTATGTGGCATTCGCTGGATCGATACTAAGCGATGGGTTGCGGGATTTTCAGTTGCAGCGGACGCGGCTTGCCGTACCCGCGTCTTGTACGTCAGTACGACGTTTCTGTGCACGCATGTGGCAATGAGTGGGTAAGAGGTGCTTCTCCGACGGTTGCACGTTCCCAGGTTAGTGCCCAATTTGCGGAAGATTGTACTTGCCATGGGGCGACGTGGCTGGACAACCGCCTTGATCTGCTCCTTGGCCTCCGCCTTGGCTTATAGGCACCACCGACGCCTCAATCGCGAATAGTACACGACTAGGAAACCCTGTCGATAGGCATGGATACGTTGAAACACAAAAGCCTTTACCAAAAGTCATCAAGCGACGAGAACAAAGTCCGAAACTCATTTTCCTGTCTCTAGAAGGCTAAGAAAACTTTTCTTAGAGACTCATTTTCCTGTCCTAAAGATTTAAGGTAACTTTTTCTTGCGTTGGTGGTCATGGTTCTGTGGGCCTGGCGATTACTGCACTAGCATTACGACCTATCGACTCGACTTGATAGCGGAAGGGACAGTGCTCAGTGATATGTCAGTAGTGAAAAGCTTCATGAAAGCAAACGTCCGAACAGATATGGTTCGCAGAGCCCACAGCATTTACAACAAAGTCACAGTAACTTGAACCCCAAGTAACTTGGGGTTCAATCATTGGGAAATCCACCTCAGCCAGCGAGCTGTGCAAAGAGGTGCAGTAGGTGCTTTGAGAGAACATTTCAAGGGAATTGTTGCGGATTACCGAGGAGCTTGGCAGTTGCGCAACCCTGAGCTCTCGACGAGAGGAACTGCAACGACGTACACACTTACCTGGAAAAGGTTTCAACAGTTAATCTCGAACAGTCAAGGCTTGTATTTCGGCAGTCCGCAGTCATGGATCTCGGAAAGCGGATGCGCAATGGCTTTGAGGGCTATGAGCCCGCCCCATTTGCCGGGTCTTATGGTAAGCACGAGAAGGGCTTCGTTGGGCAGGGCGGCATACTGGAATGGGGGGAAATGCAGCAGCTGTGGTCAGGTGCCCAGCGGACTCTCAGAGGACGCGATCATCTCCAGCTCATGCTCACGTGTACAGTGCGATACAATAGTAGCAGAAAAAAGTAGCGGAGTGGGCACTTGCGCACCGCATTCCGAGTTGGGTGGCGTGACTGGGTTTGTCAACACCTTCCCTCGTAACGTAACATAGGCATGTCACACATATCCAGAGCGTCATGAAATGTTGAGTGGTTGGACCAGTCTCGCTGTCGCAACGACGTGTTAGGTTGACTATCTGAGCACAAGAAGACGCCCATGGCCCTCGAATTTCTCTATTCAGAAACACAGTACAAGCGGCCAAGGCCCGACGAAATGCCGGTAAGGTTTTGAAGCCCGGTCGCAATATCTTGCGCAAGGTTGTATCGCCAGACCAGCGGGCTTACATGATGGTGTGCTCATGTTCAGGTGTACCAAGGCTCAAACATGCAATTTAACAACCCTTACCAGATGCCAGGTTATGGTGAGTTCGTGTGCGAAGGAGGTGTGCATAAATATATCGCGGTTTGACTGGCTTCACATCTTTCGCTGGACGGTGTCCGGGCAGTGTGAAGCAGTGTTCATGGCGTCTCCGCAGGGTTACAGCAGCCGGTTCAGCAACAACCCGTACAGCAACCGATTCAGATTCAGATGCAGCAACACGGGTTTCAGCCCCAGGGGATGCAACCCCAAGGAATGCCAGTCCAGGGAATGCCACCACAAGGCGCTCAAGCATTGGGGATACAAACACAGGGCATGCAGCCGCAGGGGATGGCGACGGTGCCGGGGGTTCAGCCTCACGGGATGCTGCTTCAGGGAACGCAGCCGCAGGGGATGCAGCAGCAGGGAACGCTGCCGCACGGGATTCCGCAGCAGGGAATGTCGGGACAAGGAATGCCGCAGCAAGGAATGCCGGCTCAGAGTTTGACGGTGCAAGGATTCCCGCAGCAGGGATTGAATTCACAGGGGTTACAAGCGGCAGGCGCCAACCCAAACAACTCTTATGGCAACTCCACGGGGCTGTTAGGAACAGGTGAGAGCAAATGTTGTGCAAACACCCAGGCTGCACGGTGAGCAGGTGCAATATTTACCTAGCATGTTATTCAGTTTTTAAGGTCTGCCAGGCGCTGCTTTGCAAATTTGGGATGGTTACACCTGAAAAGAAAGGAAACACTTGCACAATCTTTTGCTCCTTCTCGATCTTTTAATGAAGTGGAAGCCACTTGAGAGCTGCTCCGGAAGCAGGAGGGCTGGAGAGAATGATTTAAGACGTAAACCATATGTCAGGATAAGTGGACTTGTCGGACACAAATTTTGACTACATCTCCCAAGGAGTGGGGCGCGGGATTCGGTGGAGAGGGTGGGCGGCCGTGTAGGAGCACAAACGGCTAATGGTTATGGCAAAGAAGCGGTCACTGGGCCACTGGAATTCGGGAGTCGTTTTCGCAATGAAATGCATAGGTGAGCGGCTAACTGCCTCTTCTACGTTCACTAATACGAAGGCCAGGAAGAGCAACATCACAAGGAGCACAGCTGGATAGCTAATTGTTACCAGGAACTAAGCCCGAAGCTGTGGGCCCTTCGTAACTTGTTTAGCTGATACTTTGCATTCCCCTGCACGTACGCGCTGCGTTCAAATATCGGCGGCGCATACCCCCAGGGGATGCCACTTTCGTGGGCGCGCCGGGGCCAGGTGGCATGGGCCAGGCGCAAATGGGCCCGGGCCCCCAGGCTATGGGTTTCCAGGGTGTCATGCTGCCATTTCAGCCGCAGCAGCAGGTGCTGCAGTCTCAGCAGCAAACCGTGATGGGTGGAGTTGCACATGGGATGGGGTCGGTGCAGGGTATGGCCATGCCTATGGATCCCCAGCAGCAGCAGGGTCAGGGAAAGCCAGGCTTGGGGTCACAGAACGCTGCCACTGGGTTAGAATTCCAACAGCAAGTAATGCCTTTACAGCAGCCCGTGATGGGCGGCATGTTGCAACAGCAGTCAGTTATGTCCAACCAAGTGCCACAAGTACGTGGACCGTACGTACAAGCTGGTGTGGAGCAGCAGGCTGGGAACATGGGTCGTATGCAGGCCCAGCTGCAAGACCTAGGTCAGGGGGGAAGCATGCTGCCGTTTAAGCAGCCTCAACCACCTCGAAGACAGCAGGAGCAGTCCCAGCTGAAGCAGCAGCTTGGGCTGCAGCAGAAGCCGCAGCCGGGGCAGCAGCAAAAGCAGCAACCGGGACAGCAGCAAAAGCAGCAGCCGGGGCAGCAGCAAAAGCAGCAGCCGGGGCAGCAGCAAAAGCAGCAGCCGGGGCAACAGCAGAAGCAGCAACCGGGACAGCAGCAAAAGCAGCAGCAAAAGCAGCAGCCGGGACAGCAGCAAAAGCAGCAGCCGGGGCAACAGCAAAAGCAGCAGCCCGGACAGCAGCAAAAGCAGCAGCAGGGGCAGCAGCAGGGGCAGCAGCAAAAGCAGCAGCAATCGAAACAGCCAGTAACCCCACAGCAAAACAAGTCTCAGCAGCAGCAAGAGAAATCGGAGCAGAAGCCTCCAACGGCTGCGCTGACGGCGACAGGCAAGCAAGGCATAGCTCAGCAGCTGCCCTCGGACGCCACGAACTCCCTGTATTTGGAGAACTTGCCGACGGACGTCACGCACCGGGAGCTTACGCACATCTTTCGCCCATTCGCTGGCTTCGTTGTGAGTATATGGGCGTGGTGGGTTGGTGTGGCGACTGTTAAGAAGTGGGTCCTTTTCACTGTTAACGTAAATGTGCCTCTGCGGACCATTGCATCATTTTCGTGGCTTGATTGAACCTCGTAGCTCAAATACGCCTGCGTGTTGTCCGTGGAATTGCCTTTCTCATCTTGCTGTGCACCTTTTGCGGCTACTGACTCGACCCTTTTCCTGTTGTTCGCAGACGCTTCGCCTTGTGGTGAAGGAGCACACCAACCGTGAGAAATCCGCGAAGGCGTTCGTCGACTTTACAGATGCCCAAGCAGCCACCGCGGCCATGTCAGCGCTGAACGGATACCAGCTTGATCTTGAGGGCCAGACACCCCACGTGTTGCGTCCCGTGTACGCCCGGCCTCCTAAGGAGCCGGCGACTGTCAACCGGGGTATGGGATCTAACACAATTTTGGATCCGCCCCCTCCTGCTGTCAACAGCAGCAGCGGGCCTCGCAATGACGGTGTCAGCAGTGGTACGCAGAAGCGCAGCACCTCAGCTCCAGCCGGGAGCCAGCAAACTGGGCCTGGCAACGCAGGGCATGTTGGGGTGAATTCCCTTCGGGGCAAGCCAGCCAGCAAGGGTCCCAAAACATATATTGATGGGGGTTATGGGGAGGGACTCCTATCGGCAGCTGGGCCCAGCATGGGTGCCAAGCCTTCAGGACCAGGTGCGGCACCGATGCACGTGCATGGACGGGGCCGGGGCATGGGGCCGGGACACGGCGGGCGGGGTATGGTGCACGAGGCCATGCCGCGCGGGTATGGCGGTCTAACAAGGATGCGAGTTCCAGGACCAGATTTCGGGGCGGGCCCCGAGTTTGGGCCGGGACCAGGGTTTGGGCCGGGACCGGTGCTCATGCCCGGACCTCCTTTCGGTGGGCGGGAAATGGGTGGAATGATGGATGACATGGGCATGCACGGTCCTCGTGTGCCCATGCACGGTCGCGGGTTCGTGGGTGGCCGCGGCAGGGCGCCCGGCGGTGGGCTGGGCCCGGGGAGGTAAAAGGGCACCGAAAGCTAACCGCCCTAGGTTCCTTGCAAAAGGCTTTGGAGGCCATTTTTAAATCGAAACATGCTAGCTTTACCCTGCAACGGGGTATGCAGGGCGAGCTCCGCCTGTGACCACGATTCAGGTTCCAGGGTTCGGTGTGAAGGGAGGAGACTTGCCTAGCTGGTTTGCAGCAGATGAGGGTTGGGCGGGTAATCTTGGGATTCTCGGGTTGGAATCGTAAGACTCACAAGAACATAGATGCCTTCTACAGATTGAGAGGGGTTGCCGGCGGGCAGGTCCCAGAAGATAAAATCTTAGGAACCTTTAAGGCAAGTCAGTCAAAAGCCATGGTTCAAATTAGCCGACGCAACACATTCTGTATGGCCTGTCATTAGGGACAGGTCGACTGTGTTGTCCCTTGACAGAATGCGTGGAGGTTCTCCCCGTAAGCGACTTCCTGAAGAGTTGGTGTGGGTTGAAGTACAAAGTTTAAGGATTGTTTTGGTAGCTGGGTTGGCCATATAAATCCACGGGGTTGCGTAAGCCCACAAGGCCCCGAGCAAAATTGTGAGATTCTCTTAGTTGTCTGTGCGTTACCAAGGGATGACCAGCGACCCTGGCGCTCTGTGGTGGTAAATCAAGATAATGCCCCCATCAATAGTGGTGGCATTACCTTGCGCAATGGGGTTACACCTCCTTGCTTCGCTACGCATAGCGCTGGCCTTTGAGGATATGCCGGAAGGTGTTACTCTTGCGGGACCTGGACATGAAGCTGACGCATTTAATAGGTTGGCGAAGGCGCTGGTTCGCTTTAAGCACGAGGATTGTGTTGGCAAGGCGGTCGGGGCTGAGTTGCGCAAGTGTGTGGCCTCGCAATGAGCACCGTGCCGTGTCCGCCACTCGGCTTTGGGGTCACATGACCTGTGCTCCCGTTCTTTGCATCGTAGACTTCGAATTACTAACTGCTAGTACCGGTCCTTATGCCGATACTTGGCAAAGCGGGCTTGCGCGTGTCTTACAGGATGGTTCTAATGTGTAGGTGTCGGCGGTGTCGAAGCATGTTCCCTCCAACAAAAAAAGATGTGGCCCTCACAGCTTCTTGAAGTTGTATCGTTAGTCTGAGGCGAACCATATCGGCTACACCACGTATCGCTTGTATAAAGAGACACCGAAAGTCAGGGATAGAAGCTGTTGTACAATCATCGTTGAGCGCCATGCGTTAAATTATGTCATGGAGACGATATGTTTACAAAGGCTCCCAGCGATTCTCTTGGGAGATGTACCGACGACTCCTGCAAGAAAAGATGTGTTATTGTCGCATTAAACCGCATGCGCTTATTCAATGCAAAATAGCTGCCCACAATCTCCTTTGCACACGCTCGTCAATACTTGGTAATGTCCATGTTGTAATATCAATTTTGTGACGCAGGGGCTGAGAACGTTAAAAGTACGAAGATTAATGTACATCCCAAAGTGTGCGCGATGACAAAATCAGTAAAAAAATTAACCAATAAATGGAGAATCCGCATCGACATATTCCACCAGAATTCATCTGTGGAAGGGAACACGGCTTTGGTAAGCCCTGGATTATCCGGTGACAGATTCCAAGCGGTGGAGTAGTTCAGACGTCTCCAACGGACCGTTGCCAACCGTGGCGAGTACATAAGAGTAGTACGTCTTCGCCATGTCTTTAATGCCAGCGTCGGTAAGAGCGACTTGTTCAACATACACCTCATTGCCAACTCCGTTGTGGGAGGTAGGTACGACTCCTGCACCGAAAGAAGACGCGCGAGATTTATATGTGAATCAAAACCCACTTCTTGTGTGGTTCGAAACACAACTGGACAACTATACATCTACCATTATGTCAAATAGCCGAATTTCACAAACACCGTGAAAGACCCTATGCAAAATGCCAGCCTTTCTAGATAACCGCTGTGTAAGTGGACGGTTCGATCATAAAAGACACACCTTTTCCTGGGGGTTTCGTCTCGAAGTCATCGGCATCTCCGTCTGCTAGCACGTCCATGACATGTTGCAGATTGAGGCGCTCCCGCTTAATCGACGCTATGCGGATCCGCGCCATAGCTTCCAGCTTGGATGATATCCTGTACATTGGCCGGAAAAGGTAATAAATGGCCGATTATCTAAGGGTTAAGATGGCCTTAGGTACATAAGCTGCCGAAGGATATCACTGCGGAATAGACGAGGCGCACACACTACAATTCAACTATGTGCCTAATGTCGTGGCGTGCGCCCGAAACACAGCCTTCACCCACTTACTGTGTCATTGCCGCACCGCAACCTTGTGCGCCGCTGGGTGCCCCGCTGGAGGAAGCGGTACCAGGCTGTGCCGCCAGCTGCTGAGCTGGCGGCAACCCAGGCATGGCATGAGCTGCGAACGGCTCGAAGATTATGTTTTGCAGATTGTGCATGTAATGCGTTTGCAGAATGCTTCCCTGGGGCCGTCGAAATGAGCGGTGGGAGAAAATTAGTAGCGAATACATTATTTTCAGCTCGTTAATGGACAAAGTTGCCACTGCGTCCCATATTGTTGATCCTACGTAGTGTTCGGAGTGCACTACAATTGCCTAGGGGCATCCTAGGGCATCCCTTAGCGTCACTGCCCAATGGACATACTGGTGGGCCAAGGTATCAACCACATATCCCTGCATCATCCCTTGCAAGCAGCCTCTTGCGATCATCTATGGCCGTAGCCCTGTATGACATGTCACTCTCACGACTCACCTACACATGCCGCACGTGTCCGTTTCGCAAGCCACCGACTCACCTTGCAGAGAGCGTCAAGCACCTTGCCGTACCAATGGTCCAGTGGCCACTCCGATTGCACAGAGCGTAGGCATGCTTCTGCGGCAGACGCGCTGCCCTCGAAGACCGGCGAGCAGCTGTCAAGCTTACCGCCCTCTTCCTGTAGCATTGGCAAGAGCACCAGAATATAGCACCTAATAACACCAGATCCAATTACTGAAGAGATTCGCTAATGAATGAACCTTAATAATTATTAACACCCCATAAATCTGGTAACATATAAAATTTGATTCAAACGTCACCTTGAACACCACGTTACCGCAGAGCACGCCACCGCACGTGGCGGATACTGACCCTCATTGCGATAGGATGCAGACGCTCACTTGATTGCATCCGCTCACCGTGCTTCCTTACTCATAGGCTACCTAAGACTCGGCCGCACCTTAAAGCTTAAGCATGCGACCGCTGGGATGTTAAACCTCAGCGGCAGCAAGTGATTGCAGTTTGCACGTGTCGCTAGCGTGGAAAGCAAGTTGTTCACCAGCATGAGCAGTGCCACGGCCCAGAGCCGATCCGCGTCCTCGTCTGCAACGCAGCGCAAAAGACGGCAGTGGCGCAGCACAAAAGATGACACGATCCTTAATCTCCTAATCAGCGCCGTCCAGCCATAGTCCAAAAGCGCTTGCAACACGTCGCAAATTACCTTACCAAATTCAGCACAGGATCGCTATCATTAGCTGCAGTAAAGCTACTCCTAAACCCTCCACATGTCGTACCTCCGCTACCGGGCCGCTCTATGCCCCCCGTCCCGCTGGCAACGCGCTCCACTGCCGCCGCTGCGTTTGTTGGCGGCGCATATTTGAGAGCCTCGCCAAGCAGCACTTTAGAAAGGCGCACGCCGTGCAGCAGCAGCTCCGGCTGGCGACTTGCTAGGCACGAGGCCAGCACTCTGCTCATAATCGCCACATCCGGAGGCGTTCCCAGGGACACGTTCTGGGCCATCTGCATCGCCCAGGCAAATGCATCGTTACAGCAGTAACGACGCATAGCTTATATGGCTGGCCGGATATAGATATATATAAACTGAAGCAACTAAATAGTTAATTATCACGACAAACCTACCATTCAAACGTTACTCCCACACAGCCTTTCACAATTTTGCAGTGGGCTACCTTCAACGGTGCAACGGATTTTTTGAGTGGATGGATTAGAGAGGCAGGGCCAAACTTCGTGGCCATGTGGAGTAGGGTGCGAATAACGGGATCGCTGAATAACTGGTCGCGCGCCCCATGCCTGTAACAAACGATACATTTTGTGTATGTCAATATTGCATAAGCATTGCGGAAGGCGCACGACTTCATGTGAAAGGACAGGTCCCTCAGTGCATGACGCGGCAATAACTGCGAATCCCCACCTGCAGCACCATGTCCATCAGCCCGAGTGCCTGCTTCTCATCCCGCAGCCCGGGTCCACAAGCCGCCAGCACGGCGCCTAGGAGTTGGCAGGCAGTGGCGCGCGAGTCCGAGTCGGCTGGTCCCCAGACAGTGATGATGGCGGCCAGCTGCTGTAACAGCTGCGCAGGCGCGTGGCCGCCAGGGAATGTGCGACCTGCCTCCTGGAAGCCCGGAATGACGAGTGCGGCTGCGAGGGCGCAGTCGAGGCAGGCCTGGAGCGCCACGAGGGAAGGAGTGGAAAAGATTAAGATAACTAATAGAAGCGGGAAAAGAGGATAGCGTACGATAAGACCGGCCCCAACAATGCAGTGATCCAGACGAGGCCCATGGAACAAAGCCTGATATGCTTTACTACTTCTTGTACGGGTCACAAGCCAAGTCGGCATCAATTACCTGCGCTTGCTTCGTTGGTGTTGCATGATTCCGCAGTACGGACGAGATCGCCTCGCACATCTGCGCCGCATCACCTACTGCCTGCGCCAGCTGGCGCATAGCGGCCTGTGCACGTAGGAAAATGGGAGTAGGACGGCATGCGGCATCCAAGCGCCATAAACAAATACGCAGTGGACACCGAAAGACAAAAGACATCCTCGAAATACCCCGATGCCAGCGACAAACTCGGCCAGCGGACCTGACTGGTGAGCGATTCCCTCCACAATAAAAAATGTAGTAGCCATGACGGCAAACGTAAATGCCTTAGCCAAGGGGGAACGTGTTTGCAATGGTGGCATGTGGTTAAGAAAGCTCACGGGGCATTAAGAAGGCTCACGGGGCAATTATGCCGCGGCGCTTGATCATCGCTTTAGAAGTATGTCCTAAAATCGCGCCAAAGGCATTTAAGCTTCCCAGGCTTACGATGATGGTGCTCCGCAGTTGGAAAGTATCGCTGAACTGGTCGGCAGTGAGCGCCCGTGGCAGCTCCTGCAGCGCCATGCTGAATGCCGACAGCGAATAAACTGGCGCCTGCAGGGGATTGCCATGACCCACATCAAGTAGCAAGCGACCCACGCTCAGAACTATTGCAGGATTCGCAGGAACGCCATGCCGATTGGACCGGGTACGGCCAGATATACGCCGCGACCTACCAAAATGCCGGGCCGGTGCACGGCAGTACATACGTGGATTTGGAGCCGTACCGTGCGGATTTCCCGAGATGCATAGTGCTGGGAAATCCACATAAATTTACCTGCTGCAATGCCAGGTTGATAACGACCGCCCGCTCATCGGGGCGCAGGCCCGGTGCACTGCTGTGGCGTACGAGCGCGGCAAACAGGGGAAACGGTTGGTCGGAGCAGGAGCTTTGCACGATGGCCATGAGCTTCTACGGTAGGGATAGAACATTGGGGTGCGGACGGGCCGGGGACATTGGCGCATTCGGGTTAACCGGTGTGGCTGGATATGTTCATTATCCTACAGAAAATGCCTTACTCAACAAGAGGGTGCAACTGCGAGTAGGAAATTAAGCATCAGGCCGGCACTCGTTGAGGGTGCGGATCAGCGGGAAAAGGCATACAGCAATGACGACACGCAATGTGGCCGCATATGGTAGAGCATGAGAATGCTTTAGTCGGGATGAGAAGTAGGCATTGAGCGCTTGAACGCGCCCTTACCTACAACGTACATGATGGTGCATTCCAGACGACTTCGCAAACGCCAGTTGCGACGTAGCTGACATCACATGAACTTATGGGGTTTTGCCGCTTCCGTGGAAAACACCGGACCAAGGTCGGGTTACACCACCGTGCCTGATAACCCACAAGGTACATAAATCATGTGTAATATCTTCCGATGTCAAGATCCTCCCATCTCCATGACCTGTTAGGTGGGGAGCCACGGCACGATGGTTCGCCTTACCTTCACAGAGTCCGTCTTTTGCCAGCCGCCTTCTTGATCCAGGTGCCGGAACAACGTCTCCATAACCCGGTACACGGTGCTGATGTCCTGACAGGGCGCATGCATAGAACAGAGGGGACCTTGCAAGCCGCAATCCTTCGTAACCGGCAGCAAGGCATTGGGCTAACGCCAAGGCAAAACGCAGCTCCTTGCTACCAAACGCGGGTGTTCAAGACCATGCGGGCGATAAGGTAACGAAACCATACTTATAACTAAACAGGATGCTTGGACCAACCGGAGCTAGCCTACGTGCGCCACTCATCATCGGCGAAACTGTTTCATTTCCCTTCCACATGCCCATGAGCATGGTAGAGCTGACCAAACACGCGGGCGGCCCTGATTTCATTCCACCAACTTGCGTAAAAGGAAATTCCCGAGATGGTACTGCACGTTGTACACCTGACGCACACTGGATTGACTGTCACGCTAACATGGGTCTACGACGTCGTGTTGCAAGTCACATGGCACAAAAGAACCAAAGATGAAAGCTGACGACGTACATCCCGGTGACGATCTAACCGGTAAGAACCGTTACGCCAATGAGCAGGATTAGTGGAATACTTCTCTCATCATACGCAAATGCCAATTGACTTGCCTGCAAGAACGGCTTAAACTTCAGGAGGACGCTGTGTGCTAGTCCACTCGCAGTTGCCTCGGCCGGTTCTGCGCTGGGTCCACCTGAAGCAGGGCATGCTAGTGGTGTCAAGACTGGAACTGGTAGCAATCCAACTGGCATAACTCCCCTTATAAAGTTCGTGGCATGACCTTAAACGTCATTTAGCAAAACCAGCTGCATCCAGGCCCATTTCGCGCGTCCCCATCTTTAATTCTGGCTTGTGGCTTCCAACATGGGACAGTGTTCTAGGGCCTGCCATCCGAACTCTCCGAAGAGAGCTCGGGTGCGTCTTTGTAATGAAGCGCGCAGCATGATAAACGGCCTGCCAGGTACACCCACGGCTCCGCAATGCCACAGGGCAACCCCGCAGTCGTCATCTCCCTGCTCCATGGTCCTGCACACAACAAAAACCGCGAGCACTAAGGTAGGCGCATACCTCACCTGCTGTGCTTGCGCCCGCGCTGGTATCCAGGTTCTTCAAAACCGCTCCCATACTCTCCTCCAATTTTGTGGGAAGCACCTTGAGTTCGTGACACAGCTCCACGTACTCCGCAATGGCACCCAGGCTGGCGATCTTAAGCTGCTGCTCCCCAGCCCCCTGGCCTGCAACCTCGCAAACGGTTGCCACCAGCGGCTCTATGGCCTTCAGCTGATGCTCTACGGGGCTCTACAGGCATGGGTTGGTCATCATGCCGCGTACACGGGCATGAGGCCACACCATAAATTAGTCCGAGAAGTGCGATACGATTCCCGCGGGTCTGTATCTGGTCTCAATACTGGTTAAGTGAGCCCCGACGCAACCATGTCAAGCCCACGGAGCTGACCTAAGTCACGACGCACAGGAGGTAGAGTAGAGGAGGTAGTGTCCTGTCGTCTTGACTGCCAAATGGAGCTGACAATGCCACTTGGCCCGGTCTGAATATCACAGGCCCCTGGGTCCGTACACGCAGTTCCCATGCAGCGATCAAGTTCATTGACCTGTAGCAAGCCATACCTGCGCCCTGATATAACTTCCAAGAAGCTCCGCGCCGAAGCGTTTTACCATCGGCTCCGGATGAGCCAAGAGGGTCTTTACCTGCAGTCCACCAGCGATATATCTAGCAATCCCCGTACACACTACAACCATCACCGCTCACTTGTGCTCTTACTGAACTCACAACTGCGTCCGGCTCGTCAATCAGCTCCTTGGTGAAGTAGTTAAAAGTGAAGTTGCTTTCTTCGTCCATAGACTTAACCAGCAAATATTTATAGGTGTATATCGCGATTTTGGCCTGTCCATAGCCGCGATTCCTGAGCTCCTTCTTCATACGCCTCGTCAACCTTCGTGACACCTGCAACGTTCGACGAGAGTCCTGATCCCGGCTCTGCATATCACCGTGCTCTTACTATAGTTTGAAATCCTGACCTTTGCAGTCCTTGCTGGATATTTCTGCAAGTACTCTGCCAGTTTCTCCATCTTGCGTTCGACAGCTTTTGGCACATTCTGTCTAGGGTCCGGAGGTAAAGTAGGGAACACGTCTGGAACTAACCTATTATAAATCTTCCTGGGTTGCAATGATGCTGGCGGCGAAATTAAGCAGGAGAGCATTGTCTTTTGATAATTCGTTACGATGCTCAGTTCAGCTCGCGTCAATGATCAAAGCATCGCGTGGATTTGCCAAATTGGTATGGCACAGTTGCGGTTGTCGGGAGCAGTCAACGCCGTACTGCGCAGGGCAACTCTGGTGTAGTGTAGTTGTCCAAGTGCCAAGCCTGCCATGTCCCAAAGATGTGGCGTTTAAGCTTTCCTAGCTCCAACCCTTTCGTTACTGTGGTTTCGCTTTGTACATCGTCGTTTCCGGGGTTTTCCCTACAGCTACAATGGAAGGCGTGCTTAACACAGCTCAGACTATCCTCACCGGATACGATGTAACACTTCAAAGGCAGATACGCAGCGAAGAGCGGGCATGGAGAGCGGAGGACCTGGCGTACCGGCAGCACGAGCGCGAGCTAGCCCGCCAGGAGCAGCAGTTCATGTAGGCCAACGATGCGGGGAGCATGCATACCCTATACAGGGGAATACGGCAGTAAATATTGGCCATAAGCATGCCACCACGGTGACCGCTAGTGCGGCCCGCAACCCGTCGTCGCCCCTTGGCCCCTCCACGCCAACACTGCTACGACTTTGAGATTACCGCATTACGGGGTATGCCGACGCAGTTGGCCGCATCTTAATAGTCTTGTTTGTGGTGCTTTCCTATCTGTCAGGCTGGAGGAGAGAGCTTTCCTTGCAACGCAAATTCAACAGGCACACTTGGACAATGCCAGGGCCCTGTGGCAGCGGTGAGGCGCCTGGGCACCAGCTGCTGCCAACAGAATAGGCACTTGCGCATTCCTTCCTTTGGTGATGGTAAATGAAATGCATCTGGTCAACGTCGGAGCGCTTTGTGTGGATTATCCTAATACTTTGCGGACTCCATTCCTATGCATATTGAAGCTACATCTCTGATACACGCCAATTCCGTCATTCCCACATCCGGCCGACCATCTATGAGAGCTCGCCGCCGCATGCAGATTTGTCAATCGCAACCGGGCGGAGGTTCAGGAGAAGGCCGAGCAGCTTAAGGCGCTAAGTGCGCTGGCAGCGCTCCTTGCGGGATTCGCGCTTGTTAGGTACGTGGAGCATCGTGTTCGGGTTTTGGGCACACATGCTGTGCATGATCCCTGTGCCGATGATAATCGCCGCTACCCGAAGTGCAGTTTCTTAGAGTTCCAGTTCGTCGTCGACGCCAACTACAACCGCGCCTTGCTGCCGCTGTTCGCCCTGACTACAAGTATAACGGTACAGCCCTCGCAATCGCGTATCTGAATGTGGCCGTGGCGGCCCTGTTCGTGAGCTGTCCACGTTGCGGCCTTGGGGCATCTGGCTTGCGTTGCAACATTAGAAAGTAAACATACAGCGCAAATGTTGCGCGGTGTTGAACGCGTCTTATGATGCGCAGGTAGGGGTTGAAGTTGCGGCGGTGGTACTCTGCAGCCTTATGCTGGCGAGCATCATGCGGATTGGGAAGATGTATGTCAATGAGCAGGTGCGCTGCGGTCTTAGGCAAATTGCCTGTGCCATACGGTCCTTGCTTTCGCCACCCGTCGGGTGCACGTTGACTGGCCGGTGCTGTGAGGCAATCGTGAGGGGGGCCCATGGTCGGGTTCAGCAGCCAAGCCCATGCTTCTGGTCAGCCACGTCGTTCGATGCAGCCCTCTTAGGAGCCCTTGTGCACCATTCTTATCGTGCGGGCGTTGTAAATGCTGGCAATCAGCTGTTGCCTCACCGCTGCTGTCGATGCGGGTTGTATGCAGGAAGAGGCAGAGTTCATGCATCGGTGCCAGATCTTCATCACACAATATCGGTGGGTCGGGCAGTCGCGCGGCACCGATCCTAAACGCTCACGGCGCCAAGAGGCAACACGGGCATGCTAGGAGTAATCGTTGTAGACCTTCACGTATGTGCAAGTACTGTGTTCATTGCCTGGGGTTGGGAAAGCCAGCAATGGGTTCATTGCCATAGGCGATCTGCGGAACAGATGGCAGCCACTTGGCTGATGTCGCCGGTCAGAAGGTCCCCTAGCGATGAACGATTCCGCTCTTATGCAACAGCCCTGGTAACAGGCCACCAGCACCCTCGCGGACCTTTTCTGCTTACTGGGCTCACCGTTGTGAGAAGGAATGGAGCACAGCGTTCCGGCTCTTCTCCATCGGGGCTCCCTGCTTCTTCATTAACCTGGCACTTGCTGGTGCGTATCGTGTTCAATGGCAGGCGCGTAATGTGGTAAAGGACCTAAGTTGTCCGTGGTGCTGTTTAGCTATTCATGCACGCGTTTCGTAGTTGTATGCTGCGTTGTCAAACATATAACTGTTGTGCGGAACGCTTGTCGAATGTTGGACCTGGTAGGATGGGCGCGGTCGTTGAGATTAGTGTTTGACTAGTATGCGTGATTGGTACCCAGGAATGTACTGGACGGAAGGCATGTTCCTGCTCCCGCGGCGCACTAACAATGCTGCCAGGCCCCGGCGCGTTGGGGTTGGCATTGGCCTCCTGGTCAGGTCATTTTCCTTTTCTCAAGGCTTGGGCATAGAACTTCCCAAGCACGCCTTCCCCTGGCCTCCCTTGCCAGGCTGGATTAAGTTCCACCAAGCGCCAACTCCCACGGCTGCCGGCCTTGTGACCTGTTGCATGGGCATCGCGCTCCTTTGGAACCTGTACACGCACCGCAAGTGGGGCAAGTACCTACTGCAGGACGAAGCAGCAGAACAGGTGACACACGGATGCGTGCGGCGGCGAATGTTCTACCAATTTCCATTACCGGTTGCGCCAGACTGCACGTGTATAATGGGCCGGCTTCTAGTACTCCCTCAGCCAATCAGCGGGTGTTTGTAGAGGGCCCACTAACGCTAAAGGAGGACGCACTGGAGCGTTTGCTTGTGAAGGATAATGGCCCAAGGCGCCAGTTGTCGAGGATTACGCTTGCGTGGTATTCCTTGATGGACAGCTTACAACCCTGCATGATCGGGCCTCTTAAAACAGGACGCTGGGCTTCGCTTCTTGCAGCCACCTATAGGCCTTCCCTTCGACTGGCATCTACCCTCGACGGATGTCTCACTGGATCTGGCGCATGGGGCTACGCGGCATCCCCGGGACACAGGTAGCCCTCAAGCCTCGGCGTTTGCGGACCCACAAGAAGCTGGCACCGTCGACGATAGCTCTGTGCCGGGATCTGGGGCCGTCCGAAACGAAAGGAATTCAACGGCAGTCGGCAGTTGCTCCCGGCCTCTTGGAGCAAATCCTCCAATCGGTTAATGACCCATTACAACTTAATCCGTTAACTTTGAGGTTCACTGGCTGCGCAAGCTCGTAGTAGGGGATACTGATTTTTCAGCTAAAGGCGCGCGCATTGCCTCCAATCGAGGTGTCAGGATGTCAGCGTTACTATGTGCGGACAAGCTCCTGGGCTTGGGCTTTGGTCTCCTGAAGCTTCGTCGGTTGTGTTGTAACGCTGTTTTTTTCGCCGAGCTTTCCTACTGTGTAAGATGAGGACGTTTTATTTGTAGGGCATGCTATTAAACTTTCTCCTGTCTTACTATATAAAACGTGCCCCTGCTTCCAGTAGCCAACAACCCAAAAAGTGAAAAGCGCCCTCGTGCATAGGGAATCACATCTCTTTCTTTGCAGAACACTGGGATGTCGCAAGAGCGTCAGTTGCATCGTTTGTGTGCGACTGTGTTGGCGGTTTTATTGGCATGTCAGCACCTGCAGGCCGTTGCCCCCCAAGCCCAACGTCTGCCAATGGTTGTGATACATAAGCCACAATAAAGTTGCCCTGAGCTTGTTGCTAGCTGTGCTCACCGTGCTAGGAGGAATAATGGTAGTACTGTCGCGTAAACTCATTGACAATGTACGTGCAAGTATCTTAAGTTAGCACAAAACATGTCCAGGATTTCTAATCTCTTATTCGTAGGATAAGTTCAATAGTAGGAGGGACGTCAAAAAGAAAAGAGCAATAGTACGGAAAGTTGGCATCTCCGTTGCATGCAGTGACCTCGTCACGGACAACATGCGAAGTTAATGCTCCCCTCCTAAAAGTGATGCCACGCATGTGGGGAAGGCGCGACGGCTCAAAACCTCTAAAGGCACGTGCTACTTCGTGTTAGGCGAAGTCGTCCTCGCCCTGACCTCGGCGCCTGGGTCCCTGCATAGGTTGCAGCTAGCATGCTCATCAAGGCTTAAGAGCTGTGCCGGTGATCGGTTTGGCACTACGCAACCGGGCGGGGTGCAGGAACCTCGGCCTCGCTTACTTGCTCGCGCCTTCCCCTTTCATCTTTGCATTTGGGGTAGGTGAAAAGCCATTTTAGATGTTTTTTGTTTTTGGTGACTTTTGGGGCTTGAAGTGGTTCGCGCGCTGCCAGCGCAACAACGCACGAACCATGACAGACTGCCACCGGTGACCATGCCGCGAGTTGGCCCATGCTCATATGCATGGAACGGGGCTACCTTAATATGCTGCCATTGCTTCGAAGCAGCTTGTGAAGTCTTCCTCTAGGTCGACTACCACATTCGCGTCGTGCAGGCAGTCAGAGCACCCCACCAAACGCGACGGGCATGGCGTGTGTACAACCCATGCACATTTTGGACGATGGTGATGCTATCTTTTTTGGCGACGGGGACCTTTTTGGCAACTCCGTCCCGTGCCTCGCGGGAGAACTTGAACTCCAGGTTCAGTCCTACGAAGGCGCCGGGTAAGCTCTCAAATATCAACGCACTGAAGCTAGACGCGGGAAAACACTCCTTGACATGGACGACGTACGTGACAGGGACGTCCCCGTGGGCGACTCCTCCGAGGGAAAATCGTTCTCCTTGACCAAGGACTCGGGTGGGAGTAGCTTGAGCGCCTTAGCTGCGGCGGATTTTGGGAACCCGGACTTCATGGACAACGTCAGCTTGGACGACCTGGGTGAGGCTACTGACCTGACCGTGGTGCATATCTGTGGTCTGCATGAGCAGCAGTTTTCATGCTCTCTCTCCGAATTGTTTTGCTATGACCCACCACCGATTCTTGGTATTCCTCTCACCACTCCTCGCAGCCGCGGCCGACCATTATGGACACACGCTCTGCGGGAGGCAGTCAACTGCGGACTCGACCGCTGCGGCTGACAGCGGTCGCCAGCTGGAAGCATGCAACCAATGGTGAGACATTCGCTGTTATTGCCGCTGTGACCTGACACGGTGCGACCTGTTCACCGTATTGCGTGATTGCCTGAGCGCGTGCGTCTAAGCGATGCCAGCGACGCTGGTAGTGTTCGGCCGCCGATTCGCGCAGCTGCCCATGCACCCAGAAAAACCCATGAATGCATAGGTAGGTAAGAGGTCCCGCTTGTTTTCGCTCATGCAGCACTTGGGTACTGGTGCCTCTACCCCGGACCCTGGCTTGTGTAAAAAAATTATATCTCCACTGGTTTTGTTCCACCCACAGGACTGGTGCCGGTGCTGATACTGGTGTGGTGAAGCTCCAATCCAAACAGGGTTTGACGGGTGGTCAGGACGGATACGGCCATGCGGGGCAGGAGAGCAGCGACTGTGATATGAGCCACACACATGGCGACGGGGAGAGTTCCGGCGTGGGCCCGGGGAAGAGCGTGGCGCTGGGCTCTTCGCACAGCGAGGCGTCAGAGGATAACACCGCGGGTAGGCGGGGAGGCTTACGGCTCGCCCTCGTACGTGTCTGCATGCAGGGGTTGTTTGCCTTGAGGCTTGGTATGGTTCATGGACGCTCCTTCGCCCATGCCTTGTGATACGCAGTGTAGCCGTCTAGGGATTCTTTGTCAGGATTCGTGGATAGGCTGACGTGATGTTACTGGAATTTTGGTGATTTTATTGAGGGGATGGGCCGCTCTGCTTTCCTCGGGCAACCGGAAGCTATGCTGCGAAAGATCATATTGGGGTTGAACCACATTGAGAAGAGGCGCTTGCAAATGTTATGTATTCTTGGCAGCGGAAAGTACGATACATTTGAGCCTAGCGTGCTCGATGCCTTGCCTTGTTATCCTGGAGTCGCGCTGGTGACGCGGGCTGGTGATTAGAATTGGGTACCGGACCAAGACCGACCCAGGACATCTTACCCTATACCGCCATGCAAGCGACCATACATGCACCTGAGCAGCGTGCGTGCTCATAGCTGCACACCATGTTAGCTATCTGGCGTTAACTGAACGTCCTAACTTCTGTTCACGCGGTCATTGTTTGCGTGGAGATAAACTACGCGAGGCCCTGGTACGAGCATTTGGGTCTAGTTTACCTATAATGGCTGCGCTAACGGCGGCGTCGGTTCCTTCTGCTTTCAGGCGTTGCACCAGGTGCCACGTCGGGCCGAGATGAGGAGCACATCAGCATGCCGAACTATGGACTGAGCCTGTCCCGGCTTACCCACAGCGGCGCGCAGACGGCACCGCTTGCGGGCGCCGTTATTAAAGTGCGGCAGACGCAATCGCGAACAACACATATAGAGCAGGACAAGCAGTTACAGCCACAGCAGCAGCAGCAGCAGCTACAAACAGTAGAGGCAGGAGAGCAGCAGCGACAAGAGCAACCGGTCCAGCAGACGGCTGCGGGCGAACTGCAGCGTGGACAAAGGACGCGCGCGTTCAGTGTCGACAACTTTGCACTGATCGGAGGCGGCACCGCCGCCGCTACCGGCGGCGAGGGCGGCTCCTCCTCCGCCTGTATGGACTCTACGGCCGCAGCGGAAGGGTTGCGGCGTGCACACGTCTACCGCTCCTACAGTTACGTCGCTCCTGACACACTGCCCATGGACTTTTCGCTCGGCTGCGGAAACTCGGTTGGCGGCCATTTCACCTTAGGCTCCCGCGGCCGCTGCGCGAGCCTTAACGAGACCCAGTTGCGCCGGCACTGGCTGCAAGAGGGCGAGTTGCTTACCCCTCAACTGCCTCCCAGCGTTAGTGAGCTCGAGTTGCTAGAGCTGCCCGAGGACTCGATCCCCATACGGCCCTCAGCAACTGGGACCTTATTGGGTCAGCGCCTGGAGCAGCAGCTCCAGGACGAGCACCAGCAGTCCGCTGCGTGCGGCATGATGTCGGGTTCCGGAGCCAGGTCGGCAGGATCAGGCCTCGTGCAGTTCAAGGGAAGTGGCGGCAGTAGTGGGACTGGCGCAACCCAGCCGGGCGTGTCAGTCACTGTGAAGCGCAAAATCATAACGTCGCCCAGCCCCTTACAATATCCCAGGTCGACCAAGACCCGGCAATCGGCAGCGTCCGCTGCCGGAGCTGCCGCGCCTGGTGCGACGCTGAAGGGTCAGAGCCCGAAGCGCGTCAAGGTCAGCGGCGCGGTGCCGCCCTGGCAGGACGGCACAGCAGGCGCTGCACCATCGAGTGCGGGCTTACTTGCAGGCTGGCACCCGCCGCGGCCTACGGCAAACTCGGGTGCCATGAAAACGGTGCGCAGTGTGCCCGCAAATATGAACAGCTATCTGGACGGTGTGGAGGTCACGGTCCAACCGCTGAATCCACCAGGCTCCTCGAGCACCCCGAACAGCTCAGATGCTAGCGTTGCGTCGGCGTCGACGACGCATCCGGGCTTTGCGGCGCGCGGCCCATTCTTTGACCCGACGCTGGCGCTGTCTGCCCTAGCGGGGCCTTTTGGAAAGGGCGTCAAATCGAAGGCCGCTGGGCAAGTGCAGGCGCCTGGGTTGCCGCCAGGCGTGGGGATGAGCCCCATGGTTGGCTCGTTCGCGGCGGTGATGGTGGGACCTGACGGTGAGGTGGTATGCTTTGGCGCAGGCGTCTGTGGGGGAATTACCTGACCGTACAGATGCGGGCAATGGCTCCTGCGTGCCGTCCTATGTGCTCTTTTGGTGGGTTAATCTGGTCTGCAATCCGAAGCACGCATCGCAGCTACGCAGCGGCATT